ACCAGATAATAATTAAGTTAAAATCAGATTAAAATACAATAAATGTTAAAATGCAACTGTATAGAGAATAAAATAGTCATATTTTGATAGGCAGATTTATAAACAATATAATGTCATGAGTTAGGTATGCGTATTGTCAGGTTAACATGACCTGTCAGTATAGTAAATTTGAGTAATTAAATTGAAATTACTTGTGGCCAAATTATTGGGGAGGAGGGGGCTAGTCGGGCCTGCTTTCCTCTGGTGTAGTGGTAGGTGCCCCACACAGCCAAATATTGGCTCCAATAAAAGTTGAACTTGACAACCTGTTTTTCTGCTCCAATTAATCGGACTTATGAAGACTGGTATATTACACCATGCAGTGTGCAACTGTGCTATGACTCATCAGGGAAGTTTTTAAATCGCATCCAAAGGTTTAGCTAAATTCTAAAGGATCGCGGTATTCTTTAATCTTTACACTACCAGGCCGTTCCCTCTATCAAACGATTCTACGATTATCAATTAATGTAAAAGACAGTCAAGTTTTTTTTTTTTAAATCTCTGTAAAAAAGGTAGAGATAGTCATAGTATATTTCTATGGTCGTACGTAAAATCCATTTCAAATGACTGATGACGTTTGGCTAACAAATGAAATGAAATGAAATGGGGTTTAACGTCCTACTGTTCTGCTCCTAAACTGGGCTAATGAAGACGGGCATACACCCTTATATCGAATTCCAACTGCCAAGGGATCCTTTACGTGCACGCCAATATGTACACGGGACCTCGGTTTTTCGTGCCATCCGAACGACTAGACAGCTGGCAAGGGGAAACCACGCCGGAAAATCTGGATGAACTTTCTTGGCCAATGCAGGGATCGAACACCCGACCTCCGGGCTAGGGAGACAGCGTCTTACCCACGGTTTTGCTAACAGCAGAGCCTCGTTTAACATGGTGACTAGGCGGTGCCACCGCCGCGCACTGGCCAAACTGTGCCGCCTACTGAGCCCAAAAGTTGAAGACTGGGCGGCAACATACATATATACGTTTTGAAAATCGCTGACAAAGTTTTTCCCATGTGCCAATACTATATCATGGTGTGTAGGTTTACAAAATCGTCTTTCTGATTGTTTTATGGGTGTATTTCTGTCTGCGGGTCAGCCGCAGCAGTGTTTTGATCTCGATTTTACAGGGTAAGCCTATTATTAATCAATCAATGGTTTAACAAGATACCAAAACTAATAGTGTATCAAATCGACGAAACTTTTTTTTAAAGTGCTCAGAAATCGAGTCTAAGGGAGTCAATTTTCAAAATTTTATCCCCAGACCCCCCGCGCGGGCTCTCACCCGCGGTGTTCGCGTGCTCGCCGCACGACCAAATCCTTAGACGAGGCTCTGGCTAACAGTAACAGTCGTTACAATAATGACTATCTTTAAAGGGTGTTAGTTTTCACAAGTAAGTATGAACATTTAATTAAATAGGCTAGGAAAAGCGAAATCAAAATATCGACCAAGCCCAAAAGACTAAAGTAAAAGGTAATTCTACGGCAGTGGATATTAAGTAAACTACAATGAACGGGAGATAACTCTAGTTAAATAACTTAGGATGACGTCATTTGTCATGTGATGGTTGTAGTCATATGACTAGAATAAATAAGCCATTGTTTAGCCATTTCAAAGAGGGAAGACGTTGGAAAAAGAAGAAGTTTTGGTAATACATTGCCGTTGAGGTTAGTTCAAAATATTGAGACATTCAAATGTAATTTTGTGTTGGTTTTTTCACATTCAATTTTAGCATATCAATCAAGGTATTGCTTCAGCAGGGGCCAATAGCCATAGGCCCTACTTCAAATATCAAAACTTTCTACAAGAAGAGACGAAGACGTGATATCCAATATTTTAGTCTTAGTACATGTATTGATATATATTGCTACCATTCTAAAATGACCTTGATTTCAGAAGAAGGGGTGTAATACCATGGACTACTATAATAAGGTTCATAGTAATACACATCACCAAACTCAACCTTGAAAGGAAAGTAAACACATTCAATTTTTGTTTACAAAATTTTGGCGAGATTATCAACAGGAAAAATGGATGAAATTTTGTAATCAGAATCCACACTATCACACAAATGAGCCCCATGTATACCAGAATCACCAGATGCAGTAAACGTCACATACATGTATATAATTATAAACTTACTGCCATAATGTGTAATTTAGGCTGATTTTATTGACAATAAGAGTCACACTGAACAAATGGATAAGAAGATAGGTCTTGTTATATTATTTATTGCAACCAGTAAGCTAAAACTCATTTCATAACTTATTTTTCCTGTAAGAAAATTACACCAAAATCTCCTGTCCTGGAACAAAAGGAATGAGAGAGGACAATGGGTAGCAGGGACAACAGAATGCAGTCTTGTTCAATACGGTAACAATAATGTATAAACTTGCTACATTATATATTGTAGTCAGAACAGTCCTAACATGGGAAATTGCTATTCTATTTTAAGAAGAACTGCAATAGACCTTTAACATTAACTATTAATGTTTGTCTATGGCTTTCTTGAGTTACACAAACAGTTGATTCACCTTGATTGAACAAATACAAACCTAAAGAAATTCATGAACAATATTGAAGGTATTTGGTTGTAAAAGTTTGTTGAGAATGTCAATGATCTCCAGCACAATCATATAGACTGGACAAAAACCTACTTGTATGAGCTCTGACAAAACATGAATGCCTGGTATTACTCAATCATCAGAGGTATCCCCAGACTCTCTCCTGGGTCTCTCCTATAGACTGCACATACATGTAAAGGGCCCCGAGTAAGTCTTCGTCTTTCTCCTTGTATTAAAAACTGAGTCTGTGACTCTGCATAATTTATTGGTTGTGTTATTTTTATTCAAAATTTCTTTGCATAACAAGTGTGCCAGGTTAGTTCCAGTAGGCACTGTCTTTGATCGGATGATGTCCGCTGACAGTAGGCTACATGTACCTATGAAATACCACTCCTCCCCACCTATTCTCCGGCTATTTTGGAACCATTTACTTCTATTTTTCACCCTGATTCTTTATTTTTCGCAAAAAGAAACCATTTCTCACCATAACTGACACAAATTTATAATGATTCAACAATATTTTCAAGTAGAATTTAGTGATTTAATAAACATGCGGTCTGCGCATGTTCGAGTCTCGTAATGGCTGATCAGTTCAAATGTATTTTGTGTGTTTTTAATCGCAAAATTCTACTTGAAAATAGTGTTGAATTCTTATAAATGTGTGTCAGCTGTGGCAAGAAATGGTTCCTTTAGGTGAACAAAGAAGAATCACAGTGAAAAATAGTCGGTAAGGATTCCAAAATAGCCATAGAACAGAGGTGGAGAAAAGTGGTATTTTCATATTGCAGCTATATAGGGACGGATAGGTATTGTCAGCAGACATTGTCTGATCAGAGACAGTTCATAAAGGAACTAGGGCCAGGATTGCCCGGTATGTAAAGTAACTTAAGGTGGGTTGACCTGTCTTTTCTTTGGCTACTATTATGACAGATGAAAGACAAAAAAGATCCATCCGTGTTATTTTAATCTGTGGTCAAACCCTCAAAATGCCATCTTAGTTTCATAATCACTAATAGTAAATAAAGCTGGATATTTGTCTCATCATAATTACATGTAAACTCATTTTACTTTGGGTAGACATCTGTGTACATGTAACACAGTTTCTATTCAGTGTAAAATCATGTGATTTGTCATTAAGGCACCTGACCTGACCTTTTATATGAAAGTAAGTTTATCATGTGACTAGACCAGTTATTCTAAATTATTGATCTAAAAGTCAAAAGGATGAAGCTCAATTTGTTAATTTTTAACCCGCTTTATTTTTTCTAAAAATCTGCATGATATTACATTTTGTACGATTATTGAAAAAATTAACTTTCTGTTGAAAAGGTTATTTTGTTAAAAATGCCTTATGTTAGATTTAGATAATAATTCAAATATAGATAATGATATGATTCTATTGAAATTTCATTCAAATTTCTTTATTCTGAGCGAAGTGATGGGTGTTTGAATGTTTGACAATTGAGTCTACGTCTCATTAAATTCTTAGTTTTAATCTTAGGGTTTTTTTTATCCATTTGAATCTTGGCCATCTTATGATCTAGAAAGATGGATATAGGCTTGTCATGTGAATAAATTTCTAAATAATAGTTTATAAAACATTTGAAGCTACAATAAAGATCTGCAATATGCAGATTTAGCTCTTATGTAATGCACCTTTAACAGTCTTAGTCTATTATCCTTAGCTGCTAAAGCTTGGATAACCCAAATTAATGTATGGTGTGCACGTTCTGTGTATTTGTGAAATGAACCGTGACAGGTTGGTGATATACATGTGTCTTGGGTCAGTGTTATCTAATAGTATATACATGCTGCAAGGCTTTACATTTAGGTAATTTTTACAGAATGAGTCATATCTTTGCAATTGGGAAATGTTTTGTACAAATTCAATTTACTTTGCTACATGGACATAATGAACATGTGCAGATTAGATCATACAGCCTGTCATAGAATCAAGTGGAGTGGGTTGATCCTTGTATGTGTGGTTTCCTCACTCTGCTAAGGACTCCTACACACAAGCAAGTTATTGAAATAAAATTGTACCATAATAATGTTAGTCTCCAAATCACCTAGTTTGTGTCCCTGTGTCTTTAATTTTAATCTGATTAATAACAGTTTTGATAAGAATTTTTATTACATTGGTAAAAGTTTTAATAAGAATTTGTAATTTGAATCTCTTTTGTTAGGTGAAATTTTCCTTTTGAAATGAGGAAATTCTCTTTTTGAAATGAGGAAATTTGATATCAGTTTGCAATTCCAACATTGTTATAAATATTAATCATCTAATTCTTCCTTGTCAAGTGGAAAAACCAATCTGTAAACTTTATAAGAGGAAATCTATGATATGTGTATGAGTGTATGTCGTCTTAGTTTGAATGTAGATCAGTCATGTGATGTTTGTGTTACGGATATTCAGGTCACATTACTAATAGTGTCATGTGATTTCCAAGTATCCTGTTATATAAAATGTGTGTAGTGAGAGATATAGTTTAATAGTTAATGAAGTATAACGGTGTAAAGGTGTTCCTTGTTCAAGTTAATATTTTAGTAAGTTTATTTAGTTTTATGTTTGAATTTATAAGTCTGTATACAGTTAATGATTATATTAATGATGTGAGATATGTTTGTTGGTTTTTATATGCCCATTTTGAAATGTGGTCATATATTGTCACTCCCGTCGTCCGATTGACTTTAAATTTATACACAGTGTTTAAGGTTCTGAGATGAAGAAGCCTATTGACTTTAAACAATTTCCGACAATCACTGCCAGAGTTATGGTCCTTGACCTCTTTGAAAAATCTCGTAGAAGCTCTAGAGGCTAAAGTTAATATCCGATTGACTTTAAATTTATATACAGTGTTTAAGGTCATGAGATAAGAATCCTACTGCATTTTAACAATTTCTGATAATTACTGCCGGAGTCATGGTCCTAGAGGCTAAAGTTAAAATACGATTGACTTTTAAATTTATACACTGAGATGAAGTTCAAGCCTATTGCTTTTTAACGATTTCCAATTATTACTGCCAAAGTTATGACACTTGATATCTTTGAAATATCTTGTAGGTGCTCTAGAGGCTAAAGTTAATTTAAATTTATACACAGTGTTTAAGGTCATGAGACAAACAATCGAAACAAATTCTAATGATTTCAGATAATTACTTAATCGGATGCGAACCATAATCAGATTTTCATGTGTTGTAAATGTTTTCATTACATTGTACTTACAAAAGAAAAAAATATGCGACAACCCTTGTTAACTGCTTGGACAGCTTAGGTGCCGTGGGTGTATGTTTTGTTGCCTGGCAACCGATCTTTCTGTGTATTAAGGGCTAGTGTAAACTCACATAATGCAATTTGTATGTGTCAGTATGGTAGATAGATAAATTTGGCACAAACATCTACAACATGAATAAATAAAATCATTGTTATAAATAAAACATTTGGGGTGCCTGTCAAATGCCTTGTCACTCCTAAAGAAAATTGTGCTTTATCACCTGTTGATAAGGCTAGCAATATAGCCCTTACTAGTAAAAAATATAATCTTAAAATATTCCCAAGTTGACCTGAAAATGACACATAATATTATTATCTATAAATTCAGCCCCATTGATATTCTTTAATTATTTGAATTTTCTTGTTTTTAGTAGAAAGAAGATATCCTAAGAAGTTAAAATGTTGTTCGGTGGTATTTTAGTGTTGTGTGTAGCATCAGTTCTAGCAGTACCAACCAGTGTCGAATGGATGAAGATCGAACCAGTTAATTTAATTCATGGTCAAGTTAAAGAAGTTAAAGACGCAGTAGCACCTACCAGTTACCATCCATATGATGGTAGTTGGAATGATTTCAAACTGGTTCACAGTAAGTAAATTTCATTAAGAAATATCTATTGTAATATGATCTTGTAGATCTTGACATCTAGATAAATAACTAGGTGAATTTAAAACACTTCATCTAATTTATTTGTTTTGTTAATTTTTCTGCTCATATTATTTGTAAATATTTTGTTAGCTAGCTGTGCATGGAAAATAATCAATTTACTTACCTATTTCCAGTGGAATATTGATATCAAAAAGTTAAATATGCTTTCCATAGCGTAGATTTATTTATTTATTTTTTTTTGTGTAGAAAAGCAATATGATGCTACTGAAGAACCTAAAAGATTCAATATTTTTATGGAAAATGTAAAAAAGATTGAATTACACAATCAGCTGTATCATGATGGCAAAAAGTCTTACTACTTGGGCGTCAATGAATATGCTGATCTTGTAAGTATTAAAGCCAATTCTGTTCATCTGTAAAATAAAATATATTTTTTATTTGACTTCTTTAAACATACATTATGAAAGAGCTAAATCTGTCCATTGCAGGTCTTTCTTTAGGCCGGAAATGTTATCTAAATTATTAATTAGACATTGATTAACCTATCCAGACCATAATCAACTCTGGACGGCATTGCTAGCCTGCGATCTTAAGTGGATTATGAGCCGATTTACAGCATAATTTTCCTTTACGATTTAACGATTAAATGAATAATCGAGACTATGCTGTTTATTGTACAGACTTTAGTAATGATGATCGAGGCTAGGTGGAAATTTCAATCGCTTAGTTCTCGGTTCACATTGGATCAATTTGAATGAAATTTTCAGCAAATTGTCTTTACATTATCTAGTTTTTATACGCCTACATTTTCATGTGGACGTATATTGTCGTTGTCACTTCGTCCGTCCACAATTGTTTGTGAACAGTCTACAGGTCACAATTCTAATCCGATTTCAATGAATCTTGAAATATAGGTTTATCACCCTAAGATCTCGGTTCTTTTCGATATTGGCATGTATCGGACGGTAACTTCATGGTTTATGGCCCTTGATTGTACGAAAAATTATGTTTTTAGCTTGTGAACACTGTAGAGGTCATAATTTTTATTCTTTTTGGTTTAAACTTGAAATGTATGCCTATAGCCCAAAGGTCTCGGTTCCTTTCGATATTCGCGCATATCGGAACGTAACTTCCTGAATTATAGCCCCTGATTGTACAAAAAATCACATTTTTAGCTTGTGGATCCTATAAAGGTCATAATTTTTATTCGATTTAAAAAAAATTATTATTACATCACCGTTACACCCTGAGGACGGCTGAGTTCGAATTTCATGAAAATCGGCCCAAAACTGACAGACAAAATGGCTGTCCCTCGTTCTCAAATTGCGTAAAAATATGGTATATCAAGGTTGTGGACCCTATAGAGGTCACAATTTTTATCAGATTTTGTTGAAACTTGAAGTGTAAGTTTATAACCCAAAGATCTCGGTTCCTTTCGATATTGGCGTATTTCGGAACGTAACTTCCTGAATTGTGGCCCCTGATTGTACAAAAAATCGCGATTTTAGCTTGTGTACCCTATAGAGGTCATAATTTTTATCCGATTTAAAAAACGTATTATTATATCACCATTACACCCTAAGAACGGCTGACTTAGAATTTCATGAAAAACGGCCCAAAACTGACAGACAAAATGGCCGCCCCTCGTTCTCAAATAGTGTAAAAAATATGGTATATCAAGGTTGTGGACCATATAGAGGTCACAATTTTTATCCGATTTTGTTGAAACTTGAAATGTAAGTTTATAACCTGAAGATCTCGGTTCCTTTCGATATTTGCATATATCGAATTGTAATTTTAGCTTGTTCTCTATCCATCTCTCGAAAATGTGGGCGTACCCTGCCTGGCAGCCGCTGGTTGTCCCCCGCCTTTCGAAGAAAGCAGGGGACTATTAAAATGGGTTCGTCCGTCTGTCTGTCTGTCCGTCCGTCTGTCTGTCCGTCACACTTTTTGGGACACAATAACTCTCTTCCTAATTGAGCTAGAATGTTCAAACTTGGTGTATGTGTTTATTAGGTCAATGCCTTGATGGAGTTCGAAGATGAGCATTTTCCGCTTAGGGTAAGCAGAGATAAGCAATTTGATTGGTTGATGCTTTGGGACACAATAACTCTCTTCCTAATTGGGCTAGAATGTTCAAACTTGGTGTATGTGTTGATTAGGTCAATGCCTCGATGGAGATCGAAGATGAGCATTTTCCGCTTAGGGTAAGCAGAGATAAGCAATTTGATTGGTTGATGCTTTGGGACACGATAACTTTTAATTGAGCTAGAATGTTCAAACTTGGTGTATGTGTTTATTAGGTCAATGCCTTGATGGAGTTCGAAGATGAGCATTTTCCGCTTAGGGTAAGCAAAGATAAGCAATTTGATTGGTTGATACTTTGGGGCACGATAACTCTCTTCCTAATTGAGCTAGAATGTTCAAACTTGGTGTATGTGTTGATTAGGTCAATGCCTTGATGGAGTTCGAAGATGAGCATTTTCCGCTTAGGGTTAGCAGAGATAAGCAATTTGATTGGTTGATGCTTTGGGACACGATAACTTTAGTTCTAATTAAGTGAGATTGATGAAACTTGGTGTATAGTTTCATTACAGTAATACCTTGACTAAGTTTGATAATGAGCATTTTCTGCTCAGGGTAAGCAGAGCGATACGCAATTTGATTTTTATATGTGTCCTCTAATTATTTTCCTATTTCGGCGGGGGACATCAGCCTCACTGTTGGCTTGTTAACTATTATAGTGAGAACTGCCAACTCGTTATCGAATCTCCCATAATGTATCTTTAAGATACTGATATAATTATAATTAGTCTGTTTTGTGATTTGTTAGTACGCTATGAATTATTCTTTATAAAGAATATGAGTTTTATATTTGAACCTTGCAGGAATTTGAAGAATATAAAAAATTAAACGGGTTTAAAGCACGAATCAATGGAACAGAATCTGGTTGTTCTACATTTTTGACATCTGCTCATGTTTCTGCACCAAGTGAAGTTGATTGGAGAAAGGAAGGTTATGTTACTCCAGTCAAAAATCAGGTTGGTTTTTAGTTAAAATAGTTTTTGTATGGTGTTGAATTTTATGTGAACTTTTGAATATTTTGTTCTATACAATTATTTCAATACAATGATTGATTTTAAGCAAGAAAGCTGATAATTAATGCTAATAATAGCATCTTCGGCTGTTCATGGATGCGTCAATGAATGATAAGGGATGCGTCAATGAATGATAACAGCACTATATTTATGACATGTTTCCTTATAAAAATTTACAATTGAATAGCACATTGCAGTTGAAATATTTTTCTTTTTTACAGGGTCAATGTGGTTCATGCTGGTCATTCAGTACCGTAAGTACAGTATATTAATTTCACTAATGAAAGTTTCAGAGTGTTTTATAAACAATATTAATTTTATTTGAAGCCTATTTGCACTTACTAGCATCTTTCCAAATTGATATCAGATATAAAGTTATATTGCAGTAGTATGCTAACATGCATAAACCTACATGCATAAATCTACAAATATATCTGAATGCAATACAGGAATCCTAGGAAAAGCTGTCTTTGCAATCATTGATCGAGAGCAACTGATTTCCCCCCCACCACCACCATTGAAACAAATTGAGTCATACAACAGGAAGAACAGATATCATTGAGGACATGGCTATTAATGTGTCTGTAGGGTGTGTCAAATGAACTTTTTAAGGATATGTTTATACGGTTTATTTGTATGTTTACAGACTGGTTCTCTAGAAGGTCAGACATTCCGTAAAACTAAACAGTTGGTATCATTAAGTGAACAACAGTTGGTTGATTGTTCAGCTAAATTTGGTAATGAAGGATGTAATGGTGGTTTAATGGATAATGCCTTTTTATATGTTAAATCTGTTGGAGGAATTGATTCAGAATCTGAATATCCATATGAAGCCAAGGTAATTTGTATTAGATATTCTTAATAAATTGACTTTTTATTGAGCTAATTTTCTTGGTTTTGATCCCACAATCTCAAAAGACCTGGAGTATGGTCGCCTGCCTAATGTTTGTTTTCTCTGAATCCTCCAGCTTCCAACTGCTAAAGACCCCCTGCACACAAGAGAATTATTGAAATAGAATTTGACCACATGTTATATCTCTCTATTATATTAGATAAGACAAATGCTTTAACATTTGTTTCTGGTTACAAGCATGTGCATTTAAAATTACAAATTTATTCATTATGATAATTTATGTTTTTAGGTCGAATATAAATGTAATTTTAAAAAAGCTGATGTTGTAGCTGATTGTACTGGTTGTGTTGATGTAACTAGTGGTTCTGAAAGTGCTTTAAAAGAAGCTGTTGCCACTGTTGGTCCCATTTCTATAGCTATTGATGCTAGTCATCAGTCATTCCAACTTTACAAAGGAGGTTTGTATTTTTGTACATTGTCACTATAGTGATCAAGCTTTGAATTGATTGCATAAGTCACTGTTACATTTAATACAACATCAAGGAAAAAGGTTAAATATATAATTTCCTTAACTTGGTCCAAAAATTATTAAATATGTCCATTTTCAGTAGACAATGATTGCTATTGATTTTTAAAACATTGTTAGATGAACAAAGTGATAATGATTCTACTTTTGTCAGGGGTAAAAATTAGCCCATTTTGAGGAAGGGTTTATTGTTACTATAGAGAAGTTCTTTATTTGCATAACTAAGCTTTATGCATGAATGATTTTCTGTTCATAAACATGACCAAGCAAACTGTATGTTCAGTAGAAATATAAAAACATTAATGTAATGGTGTAGTCTTCATTTAAATATGTCATTTGAATTTAAAGCAGGGTGTAAAACTTGTGTTTCGTTGTTTTTTTAAAAAATTGTTTAATAATATTTTGTTTATAAGTAAAACCTGTGTTTTATTTCCTACCAGTGCAATATTTTTTTTCAAATAAAAATGTATTTTGATTGTTTTCTTTTCTTTGTGCAACTATAGTTATTGTTTTAGAAATAATAAATTTGATATTTATTACTGTAGGTGTTTATGATGAACCTGAATGTAGTAGTACACAGTTGGATCATGGTGTATTAATCGTTGGATATGGTACATTAGATGGAAGTGATTACTGGATTGTTAAAAACAGGTATTTATAAGCACAATAATAACCTTTTCTTTTTTTTATAGATTTTTTCTTTTTTTTTAGATTAAGTCAGTTTAAGTATGGAAATCAAATGTCAAATTTGATGAAATAGCTTATTTACTTTGTCTGTGAAAAATTTCAAATCTCAATATTCAACAATTCAAAGGTGAATGCTAGATATACTTAACCCTTTAACTGTGTACTTTGTAAAACGTTAACTACCCCCTATTGTGTAATTAATTTGACGAAAAACGTCATTTTTGGACCTTTGTATTCCTGAATACAAACTATAGTAGTCTGAAACCATATTAAAACTAACGGTAAATAGAGTTGTCTCCCTTCAATTAGATTTCCTCGACCAGACGTAATATAACGTCCTACACATGCTGCGATCGTATGTTCGAAGAATAGGTTGGGGAAAATACCTCCAGGGCGTTATATTACGTCCTACACACGGTGAGTGGCAGTTGTCCAGGACGTTATATAACGCCCTATGCAGTTAAAAGGGTTTAAAAAAAGGTCATTACAAAATTTGTTTGTTAAATTGTATGAATGACTAGATAATCACTTATCACTACAACTTACAACAAGCATATAGACATGAATATCCAGTAGAAAATTCTAGGATGTATAGTCAGTCGCACAGGGAAACTGATCATTGTATTTCTTCAAAAAAGTACTACAGTGCTTCATATGACAAATGATTAGAAGATAAACACGCTATAATTTGTGACTTATTATTTTAATACAGCTGGGGAGAGACATGGGGTAAAGATGGTTACGTCTTGATGTCCAGAAATAAAGATAATCAATGTGGTGTAGCAACACAAGCTAGCTACCCTCTAGTATAATTCTTAGTAAGTAAACAAATATTCAAATTGAAATAGTCATTTAATCATTTTCAAATATATCCATATTAATATAGATTGTTTAAGGTTATGAGACAATCAATCAAAAAAATTCTAATGATTTCTGATAATTACTTAATGGGGTATTACTCGTAATCAGACTTTTGTGTGTTGTAAATGTTTCCATTACTTACAAGAGAAAAAATATGCATTTGGCTGTCTGGACGACTTAGCTGCTGTGAGGGGTATATTTCATTGCCTGGCAACCTATCTTTTTCTAGTATGTTATTTTGTACAAGGTTTTGAATGTGATCTGTATACAAGCTATTATTGGCTCTAACACCATACATCGTAACATTTCTGATAACATTTTATTTTTATTTTCCAGATAAAGCCTACTGTTGTCATTCAGTTTTGCATTTTAGTGTGTCACATCATTTCAAAATTTTATAGGTTTTTTTTTTTCATCAATTGTATAAATTCCCATGTTATAAATAGATTTCAAGGCATATATTTCTATTTTAATATGTAAAACTAGATTCAGAACAATGTTACTTTTAGAAAGACTTCCTAAGCTTGGCAGCCCCAAATTTGTACATATGTTAAAGGTTTTGAATTAAAATTTGTTGTGCCCAGTGTTCTTTAGGGGAAAATCAATGTTTTGACTAAACAATTGTCAAAATCTTGTTGATACCCAAACATGATAAAAATGATATGATAGAAAAATAGTTACAAAATGATGCACTTTTCTTATTATATTATTATTTCTAAGGAATACAATTTTGAATTGCAGTGATGCATATTTTTCTTTCATTAAAGATGTAACTTAATGTAAGTAATATCATTTGCATATCATGAATCTTGTTTATATGTTCTTATTACTTTAAAGGACAATTTTGTAACTGGGGACTAAGTGAATTGCAGTGATATGTAAAAAATCCTTAATTTAATGCATGTAATGTTAATCTCATATGATGAATCTTGTTTATATGTTTTTATTTGATGAATTTGTGAATAATAAAATATTTTTACTACATAAAATCTTTATTTAACCTGGCAAACTTAATTTCTTTATTAATGTATGTAACATCTTAAAAATATTGGGGGGGGGAGGCGAATGGTTAGTGCGTGAAATCACAAGGTCTGTCATTAAATCAAGTAGCATGGTTTTGATTCCCCGCTTGTATGTGACAAGGAGTAGGGTTGCCAGTCCACCCTCGTTGGTTTTCTCAGATTTCAACCCCTAACGACCCCTGTGCACATGTGAATTTTTGAAATAAGATTGAACCATGTGTTAGTTTGTGTCAAGTGGATGTTAAACCCCATTTCACTCTCTCTTAAAAATAAACTCATTTTTATATGCCCACATTTTCACACCTCCCATTTCAAAATGTTGGGGGGGGGGCATGTTTGATGGTCGAATGGTTAGCGGTTAGCGTGTGCACACTGCATCATAAGGTCTGTCATTTAGTCAACTGGTTGTATGTGACAAGGAGTAGGGTCGCCTGTCCAATTTTGTGTTTTTTCTGTGGTTTCCTCGCACTGCTAAAGACCCCTACGCGTAAGCGAATTATTGAGATTAAATTAAACCATATGTTAATCCCGAAATGCCCTAGTTTGTGTCGAGTGGATGTTAAACCTCATTTCTCTCTCTTAAAATGTCGGGCGTAGCAAAATTTTTTAACGCTTCGATGTATAATTCCCGTAGAATTATGCTTAATTGTAGTTTCAGGTTGGCATCTTCTAAAAATATTTTCAAATAGAAATATGCATAAATCAAGTCTCATTTATGAGTTTATTTGAATCAAAAAAGACATTCGGAACATATCGTGGGGGTTAATCATCACAGATATTGGTTGAAGAATAAGGTGGAACACCAAACTGTATTTAACAAAAACAAAGGCAAAACATACCTATAAAATTTTGTATTGTACATATAAAATATAAAATTATATATTTAAAATTTTCCTAAAAATTTAGTTTCTGTAACACTAAAGTTTCCTGATAAAACATTGGAACCAACAGATTTCTTCTGATTGGGTTGTTGACCACCAACAAATAATCCATATTGTCCTGAAACACAAATATAACATAGTTTAGTCCATGTTTAACCTCTTTAAAAAGTAATAAAAAGTAAAAATATTCTCTTTAACAAATGCAAAATCTCAAATAGCCTATTTCTGATAAAAACGATTCAAAGTAAAGCTGGAAAAATCTAACATTAACTAAACTGAAGATTTGGGACGACCAAAAGAAGATGATGAAACAAGAAGATAACCCATTTTGCACAAAAATTGGCGTTAATTAATAATTCTAAAATAATCTGTCAGTGAGAAGGCCAAATGAGCAGGCTATAGTTTCATAGCTGCAACAATACATACCTGGGTATACCATCCATCCACTGTTATCTTCCATCCACACAGCCATACTTTCACCTTTAACTCTAAATGTTACTCTTATTTTATTCTGAGCTATAATATATTGTCTCTTAAAATCCACTAATTGTAGTTTAGGTGTTGGTTCTGGACTATTTTGCCAGTTGATATATACTTGAATAACCTCATCAGCTGATATTTGACCATTATTATAAACATCTACTGATCCCTCTACATCATTGCCTGCTAATATTGACTGACTAAATTGTAGATTAGAATAAGTAAAGTTTGTATAAGATAATCCGTAACCATAAGGATAAAGTGGATCGTAGTTGAGGTAGCGATATGTTCGGCCTTCCATAGAATAGTTTACCATTGGTGGCAACTGAAAGTTATGACAAGAATGGTATTAGATGTTTGATTTGAAACCAAAGTTTCGCTGTGATGATCTGAACCTTTTCTTTATAACGTAACTCAGATTTCAAAGCAAAACCCCGTACTTTTCTGAGAGGATGTATATTACCTGACTTTCATGCATGGGCCATGTAAACGGTAGTCTAGCAGCAGGAACAGAATCAGGACCAGTCATTGTAAGAAGATTGAATAAAGCTGATCCTGTAGCTTGTGAAGGATAAAAAGCTTCTACAATAGCTACAACTCTAGGATTACTATCAGCCCATGTTATATCAACAGGTCCAGCATTAAATAAGATGAGAAGAACAGGACTATTAGCTGGACCTTAAAAGGAAACATTTACATATATACACAACAGAGATTTACCTAATCAACACTAGTTAATCATGGCAGTGGACGCGCCTCCCTTCGGAAGAGGGTCTAGGGGGCTCTCCTCCCATAAAATTTTGGAAAATAGGGTTTGAACTAGTTCTGCTCTGAACGTAGGTCTCATTACACTCGCCGTGTAAACTAGCTTTGCACCAGAAGAGAGGAACTATGAGAATTACGGAAAATTGCAATTTTGAAGCTGAATTTGTGACATTGGAGTAATATAATATTTTGATATGAACATTATAAAAATTTGAAGGAAGGAATACGACTTTAGCAAGTTCGGAATCGGGTTAGGGTGCGACTTGTTTGAATTTTGAAGATTATCACGCCGTTCTGGGCGTCCAATTCATTGGCGGGCACCTAACCAATCTCACTCCAATTATATTATGGGCACCCACGATTTCGTCGTTGGCGGCCCACCAATCTCGGCATTATGGGCGCCCCTTTGGGATGAGGCGCCCCACCAATCATGCCGTTTTGGGCGCCCCATTGGTGAAGTCGTAGGCGCCCAACCAATCATGTCATTATCGGCGTGCCTTCGGGATAAGTCACCCCAAAGATCACGCCGTTAAGGGCGCGCCATCAATCAAGTTGTGGTGTTAATCGTGTGATTCATTATGAGGCGCCTTACCATTGGGGGGGGGGGTGCCTCATATATAACGACATGATTTCCGAGTCGCCCATAAAAGCAAGTGACATTGGTTGGGCGCACCGCTAATCTCGTAAGCGTCCAATCAATGTTACTCGCCTTTAGTGTATGCAATACAGGATACACCCTATAATCTATTTCGCCTACCGCTAGGTACTTATAGTAACAAAATAGTTTGATATATGATTATGTAAATAGGAATGGATCTTTTATTTAACAATTATCAAAACCATCTTGTAAATATAACAGGATCTTGTGAAACAGACTCAAGCTACTATTGGTACGACATACTATTATTAAAAGCATCTTGTACAATAGGATTAACTCACTACTAATTTAATATTACTGCATCTTGTAAAATAGGATTAACTTACTGTTATTAACTACATTTTGTAAAAATTATATGATTAACTTACTATTATTAACAGCATCTTGTAAAAGCTGTAATTGTTTTCCAGGTAGATCTATTGTAGCTCTATCATTACCTTCTTGTTCTATTGCATTACCTGATTTGTACATTATCAAAACAAAAGTATAGGTACAAAGTATAACAATAGTAATAAGTTTTCATGGATAAAACAAGTTTTCAATATGTGGGAAATACAAAATATTAACCAATCTGATTAAAATACAGATCTATATTTCGTTTCGTTTTTTATACTTTCGATGGCCTACACTACATGAAGATCTGACCAGATGTAGTGGGAGGTCGCGTAAGGGGTCACACGAGCGGCTGTTGACCCTATGGCGTCAGACATTTGATTACCCAATCAGCGTTGATGTTTCTAGTGGGTTACCCACAGTTCCGTGCACCTCACGCCAAATACTTGCCGTAATAGACTGTTTTATTGGCTAATCCCTCAAACCATCAAGAACGCGGCTTATATAGCCACTCTTCCAGATCCTAGTGTAGCAAAGACGAATAAAGGAAAGTTTGAACTATAAAAAAACGAAACGAAATAGGATCTGTGTTTTAATCAGACTGCTAACGTAATTAAAATTAGATGTATATTTGGTTCAAATTGACATTTTGTATCGATCCAGGCTAACAAAACCAAGTTTGCATTGGCTAAAATGAGAGGTCAGTTCAGATCAGTTTAACAAGCATTTAGACTAACTATTATTCAACTACACAAAAAAGGAAACAGTCCGATGGGAAGAGAACATAGCACAAGGAGGTAAAGCAAATGATAATTCCAATTATGACGTCCGACTACTCGGAACTTATGTTAGCTGTAATCTTCGGTCAGAGGATACAGTGTTTATTATTCTTACCTAAACCTAAGCAGACGATGACGAAATCAGCACCTGTTACAGCTTTAATAATACCAGCTTGATCGTAATTAGTACACTTTGTATCACCATTACACCCAGAACTAAACTGTACTTTTCCTAATGCTAATCTAGAGAGGTTCTGTAAGGGTGTAGTGGTATAACGAGGATTCACTTTAGGGGAGTAATTACCAGTCTGAACGACCGTGTTATTTGCTGCAGGACCAACAATCTAAAGAGACAAGGACGTCTTTTATAAATAGTTTCAGAGACAATCGGCAAGAAAATTCATATTTTATATAGCTCAGACTGATAACAAAAAAAGGTAGCAGACAATAATTTAATTATTAATTCCACAATTTCAATTTACTTTGTTTGAATAGTTGCCTAATGACTTACTGCTACTGTATCATATCTTGATGTTCCTATTGGTAGAAATTTGTTGTCGTTCTTCAGAAGGACTAAAGTTTTCATAGCTGTTTGTATAGCGAGTTGTCTGTGTTCTGGACTCTGTACAACTGACGATGCATTCAATTGCTTGTAAGGATTCATTTCTGGTGGATCAAATTCACCTAATCTCATTCTGGTATACCAAACAGGTTTCATTAATTCTCGTACTCTTGATTCCAGAATCTTTCCTTCGGATACAGCGTCACCTAAATTGAAAACGAGTTCAACAATATCTAGCATTTATGGGCCTTGGCGTTGAATAATTCAGCAACGATTCACGGTGAAAATTTATGACAAATCCTTCATAAACGGCAGTGGCAATGATACTAATGGCCGTGAAAAGGTCTATATTTTTAATGTTAAATCTTGGAATGCATCCCTCTTCCAGGTAGAGGTAGCCATTGTTAAAATTACGCTTTCCATTTCCGATGATGGCGACAATAGCAGATATCAGATGGATGCTTAATGGAACTATAACCTTGTTAAATACATTTTTTTTTAAAATAACGACTAGGTGAACCTACCCAAAGATTCGTAGACTCTTTTCACCTTTGGCGACCCAAGTTCAATATTACAGCCAGCATTGATACAGGCAGCTACTGTGTCGACACTATTATTCAGATAGTGGTGTTGAGTTATGATATTTTCAATAGCTCCATAATCACTTATAACATAACCTTCGAACCCCCATTCTTCTCTTAATATATCTATCAACAACTCCTTGTTAGCACAGGCTGGTATACCATTTATTCTGTTAACATGACAAAATACGGTAATAATGGTTATTCAAAATCAAGTTCCATATATACAACGCGACATAGTAGTCTAATAGCAATTCTAGTAATGGAAGAAATCCCATTTGGATAATATGTATTGACTAAACTTTGAAGAATTTGAAACATCAAGAAGAAAATTGCACCAGCAACAACAAAGATAGCTTCACTACCAACCTTATATTTTTAAGCCAAAGACTTAAAATACAACATGACACTATAACTGATTATGGAATAGCTCTCAAGAAGAAAACTACACCAGCAAAGAAATGTAATATTATAAATCATGATTAATGTTAATAAATACAGTATTACCTGTTGTAACTACACATAATATTATAAGTTCCTGCTTTAACACAGGATCTAAAAGCTGGTAAAAACGTTGTTCTCCAATCTCTTATTGAAACCTAAAGGTAGAGAAATCTACTTAAAATATATCAAACCTCTTCTAGGCTTCATGATGTGATTTGAAGCTAACCTAAAGACGTTTTTAGGGAATGAATTGTATTTACAGCGGCATATTATACATGTATATATAAACAATTATCATGCTTTGTAATGAAGATGACAATGTTGCCCTCAAAAATCAACCCCAGGCTGTAACCTTTTATATACCTAAGGTTTTATATACCTATAGGTTTTTACATATTAGGACGAGTGCAGATGTTCTAATATAATTTGCATAAGGTTTATTGAGCGGAATTGTTTAAATAAATTACCTCGGCATCAAAACCAAATCTAGATACAGGAATGGACTCTGGACCAGCATACGCATCAAAATGTTTACATCCAGCACTGGTTAAAAGATATCGTGGGTGGTCACCTTGTAGACCTTGTACAAAAGCTGCAGCATATTCACCACTAAAATAAGGATCTTCTCCATAGGTTTCCTGTGCATTGAAATTGTGTATAAAATATGATATTCTAAGCCAATTCATCATTTCCGCATACCCAAAGGATCTGTGGACGACACAAAGGCACCAATTATTGTCACTTGTACTAAATATTTTATTCTAAGAGCGTCACATTCCTCGCAGTGTTTGTTTGATTAGACATAATCTCACTAGAGAGAGTTTTCTCTGGTCACTGCTTCAAGTATATGAGGAACGTCATATTAAGTGACAATAACTCTGTAACAAACTGCCGTACCCAATTTTTCTTGATAAATAATCGAACAATTATAGCACATATAAACGTAGTAGGGCATCCCGGGTAGGGGTTGACTAATTTCGCGAAGTATAGCATAATTGTTCACAGAGTTATAAGAAGAACTTCAGATTGAAGTAGTACTTTATAATCAATAACAATTATTCGGAAATTCTGACTAGGGATAACAAGAACTTCAGCGACAATTATAGTACTTTATAATTAAAAATTCAGTTTGAAGCAGCACTTTATAATAAGTAACAATTCCGACTAGGGGTAAAATGGTGCAATCGGAAAGGCATCACACACAAACAACTCTGAAAGCGTATGCTATATATACCCGCTTGGTTCGATCTAATTCAATGTTAGGACTATTTCGAAGCGAAACTTAACGAACAGAATATAGTAATGGTATTTACTAACTTCGTTTCGACCCCATCTTGAATCTCTCATTATGTTAATTACAGGAGAGAAACAGCTAAGTCCGGTACCGAGACCATAATCTTGCTTCTGGCTGTAGATTGTATTCTGAGCTCTAACCTCTATAGCTGTTGCTCTAGCTACATCATAGATTAACTGGGTGCTGATTAAAAATATAGAGATAGACACATTATAAAAAATAAAGACACGGCTAATTTGCAGTGGGCTGTTTTTGGAGGTTATTTTTATAACGTTTGATTTTTCTTGTTGGTGCCATCAATAGGCATGGATAGCCACATTCCCATGTACCATCGTTTCAAAATCAAACTTTCTTGGAATCCTCTACGTTTTCAGGTTCCTTATTATTAAAAATGGATCCCCCGCCTTAAAGGTCTCCAGAACCCTAACCGAGTGCACACGCAGGGGACGTCAATTCTAGAATTGGTCTAATCGAACACTACGTACTCCTATTGGCACTTGATGAAACGTTGCTGGAATGAATAGGTAAACAAAATAACGCACGGCAACGTGTTTACCTGAAGGCTGCAGCCAGACCAAGCGCTTCAGCATAACCAGTTCCACCACCTTGTACATCTCCTCTCAGACATTCCGTCCACCATTCATAGGGTTTAATACCAAGTCTAGGGATCGCATCAGTCCCGCCTGTTCCCTTTGACATTTGACCCATCATTTCAGGTATCGTCAATCTACTAACTAAATCATCAACCCTTTCTTCCCATGTTAAAGACACGTTATAGAAGGGGAAATCCGGAAACCCATAGCATAACGCTAGGGACACCACAAGTACAACCAAACAGACCTTCATCCTAACACAAACTGATAGTGAACTAAACGTTCCTTTATCAATTTTCTTTAAGTTTAGAGATTAGAGGAAAATTTTTTTTTATCTTATTTTGTTTAATTGATCTACATATATTTATAAAACTGACCCCATTATTATTGATATATTACAATCTGGGGAAGGCTACATGTCCACATGTTAAAGAAATGCTAAATGGCCTTCAAATAGGTAGCCCCTTACTCTCTTTTACATAAGAGTAAAAATGGTCCCTTTATGATTTGTACGATTACCAAGAGCGTCATACTCCTCACTGTGTTTCGTTTGATTAGACATAATCTCACTAGAGAGAGTTTTCTCTGGCCATTACTCCAAGAATATGAGGAACGTCCTAGTAAGTGACAATAAATCTTTAATAAACTGTCGTACCCAATTTGTCTTGATGATAAATAATCGAACAATTATAGAACATATAAACTTAGTAGGGCATCCCGAATAGAGGTTGGCTAATGAAACCATGAATATTTCAAATTATCACTTGTACCTAATCGGATTGCACTGCACGCGTTTATAGACCAGTAGGTCAAATTTGAGTCAAACATCCAAATAAGATAAGCAACTGTCACTATCAGTGGTATTCGTAACCAACAAATCATCAGGATAAATGAATTCTAAGTATTCACAATATTTATAATTATTTAATGACAAAATTTCACCAACGAATCCATGTGTGGAATTCTAGGATATAGCTAGAGAAGACTGTTAATCGGTGTTTAAAATATCCAGATTCATAATATGGCCATTGTCATCATTTATATCATAAGACATAGAAAGGGCAAAAGGTAGATGGATTTGATGTGTAGAATATAAATATCTATAACATATCGTTTTTGCAGAAGTTCTGGATCTATTAACAAAAAACGCTCATGTCGATTCTTTTCTACGATTTGCAGTAAACATATTCCCAATTACGAAATTCATATTTCTGTAAATAGAGGCCTGTAATTATGGGGATGCTCGATTGTCAGTCCGGAACGTTTTGAATTGACAGAATTGTAATCGAGTGGCGTGGAATTCAGTCCTGTCACAGTTCTGTCAGTCCCGACAACGGAGGTGGTCTGAGTAGAATCGTGACGTAATCAAACATAATAAATATAATTCAGCTGTCATGGTTGGTTGAGATACTTAATCATGCAGTCGGCACATTCGTTCTAGCCCCAAATCCCCATTTTCACTCGATTGTCACTATTTTGGGTTTGATAGAATTCAATTCCGGACAGTTCACTCTAGAATCCCCTAAGTGAAAACTGCTCATCAAGTGCAGTAACTCCTACGAAACGGTTCATGTTTGTATTTGTAATAGAAATGTGTGCGAATTTACTAAGCTAATGCAAATCGTATCAATCACAACAGCTGCAAGACCATTAACATTTTCTCTGTAATAGATTTAGTGGCCTGTTTTAAATCTCGATACATTTCCAGTTTAAACACGAGGTTGATATCTGAATGGGCAAAACGAACTAAGTTAATATATTCACCTGCATAACACACTTTTTTACTGTGTTTTTTTAACAAACCTCTGTGGGTTCGAAAAATCTGTTTCAAGGAGAGATAATAGTAAGTAGAAATTTAAGAATGTTTTAAAATCATTTAATATTTTCCTAAAAATTTAGTTTCTGTAACACTGAAGTTTCCTGATAAAACATTGGAACCAATAGATTTCTTCTGATTGGGTTGTTGACCACCAACAAATAATCCATATTGTCCTGAAACACAAATATAACATAGTTTAGCCAAGCATCAGCAACCGGATAAATGTTTAATATTAACTAAATTGATGATTTTGGACGACCAAAAGAAGATGATGAAACAAGAAGATAACCCATTTTGCACAAAAATTGGCGTTAATTAATAATTCTAAAATAATTTGTCAGTGAGAAGGCCAAATGAGCAGGCTATAGTTTCATAGCTGCAACAATACATACCTGGGTATACCATCCATCCACTGTTATCTTCCATCCACACAGCCATACTTTCACCTTTAACTCTAAATGTTACTCTTATTTTATTCTGAGCTATAATATATTGTCTCTTAAAATCCACTAATTGTAGTTTAGGTGTTGGTTCTGGACTATTTTGCCAGTTGATATAAACTTGAATAACCTCATCAGCTGATATTTGACCATTATTATAAACATCTACTGATCCCTCTACATCATTGCCTGCTAATATTGACTGACTAAATTGTAGATTAGAATAGGTAAAACTTGTATAAGATAAACCATAACCATAGGGATAAAGTGGATCGTAGTTGAGGTAGCGATATGTTCGGCCTTCCATAGAATAGTTTACCATTGGTGGCAACTGAAAGTTATGACAAGAATGGTATTAGATGTTTGATTTGAAACCAAAGTTTCGCTGTGATGATCCGAACCTTTTCTTCATAACGTAACTCAAATTTCAAAGCAAAACCCCGTACTTTTCTGAAAGGATGTATATTACCTGACTTTCATGCATGGGCCATGTAAACGGTAGTCTAGCAGCAGGAACAGAATCAGGACCAGTCATTGTAAGAAGATTGAATAAAGCTGATCCTGTAGCTTGTGAAGGATAAAAAGCTTCTACAATAGCTACAACTCTAGGATTACTATCAGCCCATGTTATATCAACAGGTCCAGCATTAAATAAGATGAGAAGAACAGGACTATTAGCTGGACCTTAAAAGGAAACATTTACATATAAATGCATACCAAATATGTTATTATATACTTTTTTTGAATATAAAATTATCAAATTGATACTAGTTGATCATGGTGGTGGTGTAAAATATGGTTAAAGTTTGGAAAACGACAGTTCCTTTTAGTAAAAGATCACAGCCTGTAGAAAGCGCAAGAGTTAGACTGTATAACGTTTTTTTAGGACTTCGAATTTTGTCTAATGGTTTGGATTGTTCGTACTTGGTTTTATTTTATTTATACAATACAGGGTACACAAAACATCTTGTAAAATAGATATCACTTTACAGGCTCAAATTACTATTGTACAACCTACTATTGTGAATAGCATCTTGTAAAGTAGGATTAACCTACTATTGTGAATAGCATCTTGTAATATAGAATTAACTTACTGTTATTAACAGCGTCTTGTAAACTAGAATTAACTTGCTGTTATTAAAAGCATCTTGTAAAATAGGATTATCTTACCACTATTAACTGTATCTTGTAAACTAGAATTGTAAACTAGGATTAACTTACTATTATTAACAGCGTCTTGTAGAAGTTGTAATTGATTTTCGGGTAAATCTATTGTAGCTCTATCGTTACCTTCTTTTTCTATTGCATTACCTGATGAATATGTTATAAAAACAAAAGTATAGGTACTGAGTATATGACATACAAAGTATGACAATTGCTATATGATTTCAAGGATAAAAAAAATTAGATTTGTATTCATAATGTTGGTTCAAATTGACATTTTTAATTGGTCCAGGCTATCTGCAGGTTTGACTACTTTAACATAACCAAGTCTGCATCGGCTAAACTGAAAGGTCGGTTCAGGTCAGTCTAATACACATTTAGACGTAAGTATAATGCAACACCACAAAAATGGAACAGTCTGGTGGCACGACAACACAACACAAGGAGGTAAAGCTAATGGTTATTCGGCTTGCGAAGTCTGCATACTTGGAACTTATGTTATCGGTAATCGTCGGTCTGAGGACAAAATGTTTTTTATTCTTACCTAAACCTAAGCAGACAATGACGAAATCAGCACCTGTAACAGCTTTAATAATACCAGCTTGATCGTAATTAGTACACTTTGTATCACCATTACAGCCATCACTAAACTGTACTTTTCCTACTGCTAATCTAGAGAGGTTCTGTAAGGGTGTGGTGGTGTAGCGAGGATTTACCTTTGGGGAGTAATTGCCAGTCTGAACGACCGTGTTATTTGCTACAGGACCAACAATCTAAAATACATAAGGATGCTTTTTATAACCAGTATCAGGGACAAGCAATATGTATAAAGTTTGTTCAAATCAGCAAGACAATTCATATTCTATATGGTGCAGACTGATCACAAAGGAATGTACCTAGCAATAATATAATTATACGCAGAGTATAATTTCAATTAAGGTGCTTGAAGAGTTGTCTAAAGACTTACTGCTACTGTATCAAATATGGAGGTTCCTACTGGTAGAAATTTGTTGTCGTTCTTCAGAAGGACTAATGTTTTCATAGCTGTTTGTATAGCGAGTTGTCTGTGTTCTGGACTCTGTACAACTGATGATGCATTTAACTGTTTGTAAGGATTCATTTCTGGTGGATCAAATTCACCTAATCTCATTCTGGTATACCAAACAGGTTTCATCAATTCTCGTACTCTTGATTCCAGAATCTTTCCTTCGGATATAGCTGCACCTAAATATATATTTACAGTCTAAAACGAGTTAAATTATAAGCCGTAATAGGTGACCACGGGGTGCTTTGTTTGTCTATATATATTTCATCCATAAACCTGGCGTTAAAGGTCATGTTTCATTAATGGTATTCAGTGGGGATTTATGACAAATCCTGGATTTATGACAAATCCTGGATTTATGACAAATCCTGGATTTATGACAAAGTACAGACCCAAGTACTCCATATTCATTGGAAACGGTACCAATGGCCGTGGAAAAGTCTGTATTTTGAATGCTAAATCTGGGCTTTCCATATCCCATGATGAATATCAGACGGATCCTTAACAGGGCTATAACCTTGGTACATACACTTTTTGATAACAATATGGCGAACCTACCTAATGATTCGTAGACTTTTTTCACCGTTGGAAATCCTAGTTCAACATTACAACCAGCATTGATACAGGCAGCTACTGTGTCGACACTATTATTCAGATAGTGATGTTGAGTTATGATGTTTTCAATAGCTCCATAATCACTTATAACATAACCTTCGAACCCCCATTCTTCTCTTAATATATCTGTCAACAACTCCTTGTTAGCACAAGCTGGTATACCATTTATTCTGAAAGGATAACAATGATTGCAAATGAATGACATTTAAGACAGACTGATTATATGGCCGAAAAGTAAGAGTCGGAAGTATTAGAGAGAGAGGAAGAAATGGGGTTTAACGTCCACTCGACACAACATATGGGACTAACATATGGTTCAATTTCATTTCAATAATTCGCTTGCGCGTAGAGGTGTTTAGCAATGGGTGGAAACCGGAGGACCGAGAGAAAACTCACGAGGCTTGACAGGCGACCCTACTCCTTATCACGTACAACCGGGAAATCGAAACCACGACAGTTGACTCAATGACAAACCTTATGATACACAGCGCACGCGGAAATATTAGGAGAAAGTACACAAGAAATGAAAGGTGATACCTGTTGTAACTACACATGAGAGTATAAGTTCCTGCTTTAACACACTTTCTAAAAGCTGGTAAAAACGTTGTTCTCCAGTCCCTTATTGAAACCTAAAGGTAAAGAAAATGACATGATGTAACAGAAATACACTCTTCTAGGTTGCATGATGGGATATGAAGTTAAGCTAAAGGTTAAAGGTTTTGGATTTCTGGAATCATTATTTCAGGACTGTCCCAAGGGCAGATTATAGTGTATAAATATCAGTCTAAATCAAATAAACAATTATCATGCTTTGTAATGATGTTGGCAATTTTCTCCACAAAAACGAGAAAATTAACCGGAATGAAATCCTTTATTAATTAGTTTGCAAATACCTTACCTCGGAATCAAATCTAAATCTGGAAACATGAATTGATTCTGGACCAGGTTGGTGTCCACGGTATTGGGTGCTGTAGGTGCAATATTTAAACTATATTCGGTGTGTAACCCTGTTCTAATATACTTTACATGAGGTTTACTGAGTGTATGAATAAATTACCTCAGCATCAAATCCAAATCTGGATACAGGAATGGTCTCTGGACCAGCATACGCATCAAAATGTTTACATCCAGCGCTGGCTAAAAGATATCGTGGGTGGTCACCTTGTAGACCTTGTACAAAAGCTGCAGCATATTCACCACTAAAATAAGGATCTTCTCCATAGGTTTCCTGTGCATTGAAATCGTGTTAATGTGTATATAATATAAATCTATGATATGCTAAGCTAATTAATTATTTCACAAAAGCATCATTTGCTTTCTCTTGGACTAAATATTTCATTAGAATAAAATTTCGCGAAGTATAACAAAATTATTCACAGAGTTATAAAAAGAACTTCAGATTGAAGTAGTACTTTATATTCAATAACAATTATCCGGGCATTCCGACTAGGGGTAAAATGGTGCCATTGGAAAGGAATGAACACGGCAACACCGGATAAAGGAAAGCTGATGTTTTTATATACTTGTTTGGTTCGATCTAATTCAATTCTAGGACTATTAAGAGGCGAAATTTAATAGACAGAATACGGTATGGTATTTACTATACTAACTTCGTTTCGACCCCATCTTGAATCTCTCATTATGTTGATCACAGGAGAGAAACAGCTAAGTCCGGTACCGATACCATAATCTTGTTTCTGGCTGTAGATTGTATTCTGAGCTCTAACCTCTATAGCTGTTGCTCTAGCTACATCATAGATTAACTGGGTGCTGAATAAAAATATAGAGATAAACAAGCTGTAATGAATAATGACACGGTTAATTGGGGATGGGGAGATTTAACGGGTTTACGTGTACGCCAATGTGTACACGGGACCTCGGTTTTTCGATCAATCCGAACGACTAGACAGCTCTCCTTGCCAGGTCCCCCGTCCTGCGCCACTAACAAGGGGAAACCACGACGGAAAAAACGATGAACTTTCTCGGTCCACACCGGGATCGAATCCGCGACCTCCAGGCTAGCTAGCCACCGTGGCTTCGCCTGTCCATTAACAAACAGTATCCACTCGTATTTGCATTTGACGAAACAGTGCTGGAATAACTAAGTAAATCAATAAGGAAAGAAAGACTAGATACCCTGTGTTACCTGAAAGCTGCTGCCAGACCGAGAGCTTCGGCATAGCCAGTTCCACGAGCCTGTCCTCTCAGACATTCTGTCCACAACTCATATGGTTTAATACCAAGCCTAGGGATAGGATCAGTTCCACCTTCCCCTTTTGACAGTTGACCCATCATTTCAGGTATCGTCAATCTACTAACTAAATCGTCAACTCGTTCTTCCCATGTTAAAGATACGTTATAAAACGGGAAATCCGGAAACCCATAGCATAACGCTAAGTACACCACAAGCACAACCAAATAAACCTTCATCCTAACACAAACTGATAGTGAACTAAATATTTTCTTATCAATTTTCTTTACGTTTTGCGATTAGAGGAAGATTGTGATCTTATTGTTTTAAATTGACTTACATATATTTATAAAACCGAGCACATTTTTATTGATATATTGTAATTTGGAGAAATGTTAAATGACTTTCAAATTGGTAGTCTTGTACTATCTTTTACAAAAAGGGCTTGTGTAAAAAATGTTCGGGGATGATTTGTTCAATTAGTGAAATTCGTAAATATCACGCTTATGTCATTCTTTGTTAGAAAGGTGGCATCAGGTCGAATCAGCTCAGGAGCGCCAGCGTAAGAGACAATAACTCTGTGACCAACTGTCGTAGCAATTTTTTTCTAATGATAATCGAACTATTAGCACGTTCATACAAAATTATAGAAAACCTATGAACATAGTAGAACATCCTGAGTTTCGGTTCTGTAATGAAACCATGAATATTTCAAATAACCACTTGTACACGACCGTAAAACGGATTGCCACGTGCACTGACATTCGTTTATAGTGTAACACCGTACAGGACGAATATGTATAGCACTATTGGTCACGAAAAAACAAAACATACATGCAATATTACCATGTGTCTAAAAAGCGCGCGCGGGCTAAACGGCACGAAAAAGGATAGTTATCAACATCCTTCGTCACGGTCGCCAATCTATTGCTTCACGTTGTGTTTAAAGGTGGACTTGTCCACGGATTCAATATGACCTTCAATATGTCAAGAACTGATACATAAGCACAAAAATAAGTCTTTCTGTCTCTCTCCACCCACTCAGCTCGATCTTGCCAGAGAGGCTAACTTTTGGGGACGTTACATTATGACTTACTAAGAATTCAAATGGGTCTGCTCAGCCGGGGGGGGGGGGAGTTCTGGTCTTTAATATCCGTTTTATTCTGGGGTGAGAGATTTATTCAATTTTTGAATTGTAAAATATGTTCGAAAATGCAGAGAATTAGCGAAATATGGATTCTGTAAACAAGAATTGAAAAAGGCATCTAATATATGGGCCTTGAATTCTATATGGCATTTTATTTACGATGTCTGTTGGTGACAGATACGTCTGCAAATCGTCCGGTTTTATACATAATTTGAAAAAAAATATATTAATTTCGTTTTAAAAAAATGTAGCCCAACAGAGAGCTTTTTAATTTGTCCAGTTATCATGTTGATATACGAAATAAAAAGGGAGAAAGGCAAAAGAAGGCTTGATATCGCTTTAACTCCGTACATCTTATCAAGCTCTTCACGTAATACCCTGCATACTTCGGCACGAATTTCGATTGGCCACTGACCCACCTGGGGGCCTATCAGAATACCAAGTCTCTTACTTTCCAGATAAAATGTCTACCTGTGATAATCAAGTCGCAAAGTTCAAGGTTCTTCAATGTCGCTATGTTTGATTTGAGGGTGTTTGTGTCACAAACTCTGATTGGACGCTATCGTTCACGTGTCTGCGTTAAAGGGAGATAACGTACCAATAAGAGCGGGAATTGCAGACCAGTCTAGCAACGTCTAGATGTTGTAAAACTCGCGATTGTTGCTTCAGGAACATAAGCTCTTCTATGAAATCATTTAAATTTTGGATTTGATCTATAGCATATCTTTCATAGTCGGGATTCCGGGTGCTATTAACAAAAAAAGGCGCTCTTGTCCGTTCTTTTCTACGATTTGCAGGTAACATATTACCAATTACGATATTCATATTCCTGAAAGTAGGGACCCCGGGCCTTTACATACGTAATTATGTGACAAATGCTCATCAATAGAAAACGAATCAATCACCACAACTGAATGACATCAACATTTTCTCTGTAATAGATTTAATGGTCTGTTTTAAACCTTGATACATTTCCAGCTTAAACACGAGGGCAAAACGTTCTTTCAGTGAACTATCTAAGTTAATATATTCACCTCCTTAACATCCTTTTTACTGTGTTTTTTTTTAAAACAAATTCAAAATTTTACCTCTGTGGGTTCGAGAAATCCGTTTTATGGGGAGATGATTATTATAAATAGTTAAGCCAAGAAATTTAACAATATTTTAAAATTATTTAATATTTTCCTAAAAATTTAGTTTCTGTAACACTGAAGTTTCCTGATAAAACATTTGAACCAACAGATTTCTTCTGATTGGGTTGTTGACCACCAACAAATAATCCATATTGTCCTGAAACACAAATATGATATATCGTAGCTTTGGGTCAGCTAGACAAAACACTATCTTGTGCATTCTATAACTAGCGTATATTCTAAAGTCGGACAAAAATATTATGTATCTATTGTATATTTTAAATTTGGTCTAAAGGAGACTGGCAATTATTTTCAATAATCAAGGATATACATCCTCCATCGTACAATTCTGGCTGTCTCTCTAAGCACATACCTCGGGGATAATGGTGCCGAACATTATTGGCGCATTAACTTAAATAGGCGGGACCAATTCAAAACTCCTGAAGACGTTATAATAAATGGTTTTGAGTCAACTAATTCCTTGGTTAAAAATCTAGTCTTTATACTATGGATTTACATACCTGGATAAACCATCCATCCACTGTTATCTTCCATCCACACAGCCATACTTTCACCTTTAACTCTAAATGTTACTCTTATTTTATTCTGAGCTATAATATGTTGTCTCTTAAAATCCACTAATTGTAGTTTAGGTGTTGGTTCTGGACTATTTTGCCAGTTGATATAAACTTGAATAACCTCATCAGCTGATATTTTACCATTATTATAAATATCTACTGTTCCCTCTACATCATTACCTGCTAACACTGACTGACTAAATTGTAGATTAGAATAAGTAAAGTTTGTATAAGATAATCCGTAACCATAGGGATAAAGTGGATCATAGTTGAGGTAGCGGTATGTTCGGCCTTCCATAGAATAGTTCATCATTGGTGGCAACTGAAAGTGAAATGAAATTTAACGTCCTACTTTTCTGCACCATCCGGGCCAACGAAGACAGGCATACCCAATTCAATATGCTTATTTGGAATCCAAACATTCAGTGAAATGTGATGAATATCTTGTCAAAATAATACCTTGCTCTATTCGGAAAGAAACATATATTTAATTATTAGGAAACCCCAGATATCACTTTCATTATATGAAAAACAGTGCTGCACTTGATATTTTTAAACATATGGGCTGGTAACTTCAATCTGAAACCATAGTCCAAAAAATATGCGTTAGAGGGAGAAATGGAGTTTAACGTCCACACGACACAAACTAGGTCATTTCCAGACTAACATATGTTTAATTCTATTTTAATAATTTGCTTATGCTAAGGGGTATTTGGCAGTGGGAGAAAGTCGGAGGACCCGGAGAAAACCCAGGTTGGAAGGCGACCCTACTCCTTGTCATGTACAAGCGGGGAATTGACACCACACCACTTGACTCAATGGCAGACCTTCTGATCCGACGCGACGCGGTAACCATTTGCCCCCCCCCCCCGCCACCACACACACACACACACACACACCCAAATATGTTTAAGTAGAGGCACGCGTTTTGCTCCTGGTAATGTATGCTGTTGTATAATTGATATCTCTATAACCTATTGAATTATTAGGTTAATAGGTTACAAATTGATTATGATATCAACTATACAACAGTATTAAATACTATGTTTTACGGACTTAAAGATACATTAGTGAAGATTTTAATAAAGAATTGGCCATTCTTGATATAACAGTTCAAAAATAGATGACAAAAAAAGAAAATATTGAAAATTTCAGTCAAATTACTTTATTCTGAACGAAATTATCACTCTTAGAAGTTTGAACTAGAAATTGGCATCAACTGTCTCCGCACTGTCTCCGAGAATTGCCGGTCGTTTAATTGACAGACGCGACTCCGCCCACATATTTTCGATTATCAAGTAACAAACTAACATTCTCAATGCCTACGGTACCCTCGATTGTCAGTCCTTTCATCTTTTGTCTCCAGTAGTGATGTCAGTGATTAACGATAAATGTTAGCCAGGTCAGCCATTTAATGATTTAATTATTAAATAGACGATTGTTTAAATCGAAGCTGTATCCAAGCCATCCGAGGGTCTACAGAGTTGATTTGGGGTTTGTTATGTAAATAAAGGTCTAATTGATAATTTCTATAACGTTTGAAGCCTAATGAAAGACTCGCAATGGGTATATGTATCTTTAATAAGCATCCGAGGTGCATCATTTTCCCCTTGCTGTTAGAAGCACTAATGGGTTTGGGGGTTCAAATTGACTTATCTTTAATGTATGATAGGCTTTCGATGAAGCCTTACCTGAGTTCGCGAATCCTTACCTGACTTTCATGCATGGGCCATGTAAACGGTAGTCTAGCAGCAGGAACAGAATCGGGACCAGTCATTGTAAGAAGATTGAATAAAGCTGATCCTGTAGCTTGTGAAGGATAAAAAGCTTCTACAATAGCTACAACTCTAGGATTACTATCAGCCCATGTTATATCAACAGGTCCAGCATTAAATAAGATGAGAAGAACAGGGCTATTAGCTGGACCTTAAAAGAAAACATTTACATATAAATGCACACCAAAGATATTTTAAGACAATTGCCAAATCAACACTAGTTGATCACGACAGTGATGTAAAATAGGGTTACAGTTTGGCAAACGACAGTTCCTGCTGGTGAAAGGTCACAGCTAGTAGAAAGCACAAGAAGAACAGGACAATTAGCTGGACCTTAAAAAGTTATAAATTAACAAATTATTCCACCAATCAATCCAATAACACAATTTAAAAGGGATTTCATTAGAACATGTTTGATTCCGCAAGTGTAAGTATCTATAAAGATAGAAGCAATGTTAATATATTTGGGCAAAAAGGGGATAACTCTGGGACTGAAAGCCGCAGAATACTGAATATGGATAGGGTTCGTCCTGTAATGGCCACAATACTTCATAATAACTTTTAAAATGATCCGTTTAAAAACTATCGCGTTCCCAACTTATTCGGCGGTGAGGGGGGGGGGGCTAACTCCAGATTGACAAGGTACGGAATGCTGGATACCGACAGGGTTTGTCCTCTCATGGCTACAATATGATAAAAACTGTAGCATCTATCGCGTTCAAAAGCCAACTGTTGGCGGGCGGACCGCGGGACAGACGGACAGGGTGACTGGGTGACGACATTGAAATGTGGGCGTATAAAATATGATTAACTTACTATTATTAACAGCATCTTGTAAAAGTTGTAATTGTTTTCCAGGTAAATCTATTGTAGCTCTATCATGACCTTCTTTTTCTATTGCATTACCTAAGTCAAGGATAAAAAAATTAGGTTATTGGTTTAAAACAGACACTGCTTAATAATAATTAATTAATAATCCGCAATGGTACATATTGGTACCTAATCTAGAGGATAAAAAGTTTCTATTCTTACCTAAACCTAAGCAGACAATGACGAAATCGGCACCAGTCACAGCTTTAATAATACCAGCTTGGTCATAATTAGTACAACTGGTATCACCATTACATCCATCACTAAACCGCACATCGCCATTTTTACCTAATCTAGTGAGGTTCTGCAAGGGTGTAGTGGTATAACGAGGATCCACTCTGGGGGAGTAATTACCCGTCTGAACAGCTGTATTGTTCGCTGCCGGACCAACAATCTAAAACGAACGGAGAGAAAACTCAGATTAATCACACAATTAAACAAAATCGCACAATTAGTTTCAGAATTTAGCCACGGGTCATATGAGTAAAGTAATATTTTCATTTAAGTAGTTTTGTGGTTTATCATCGACTTACTGCCAATTTATCAGTGAATGCTGTTCCTACGGGTAGAAAGTTATTGTCGTTCTTCAGAAGAACTAAGGTTTTCATAGCTGTTTGTATAGCGAGTTGTCTGTGTTCTGGACTCTGTACAACTGATGATGCATTCAACTGCTTGTAAGGATTCATTTCTGGTGGATCAAATTCACCTAATCTCATTCTCGTATACCAAACAGGTTTCATTAATTCTCGTACTCTTGATTCCAGAATCTTTCCTTGGGATATAGCATCACCTAAATATAATTTTCATTAAACCAAATATTAAGGGTTCGTGATTTATTATTTAATATTGCCTTACATTAGCAGGTTCTTTAATCAGTATTATTGAAGATAAGTGTGCTTGCTAACCTTGAACAGATTATATCAGGTGGCCCAGAAAAAAAACGAGTGCACTATTCAAAAAGTGATTGTGTCTGGCAAAACATGATTTGATATTATTCTCTAGAACTCGTACTACGTTAACACTATTTGACCCGTGGACCTGCAATTTGGACTTAAGGTGTGGTACATCCATATTGTACGGAATGTTAATGATATAGGACAGGTACATTATCTTCTGGGTTATTCCACCCGATTTGGGTTTTGTTCTGGGCCACCCGATATATAGACTGCAGAATAACTCTCAGTATCGGCGTAACGTTTATTATTCTTCAATTTACATCTACATATGTCTTCTCTTATTTCACGACAATGTATACACGGGACCTCAATTTTCGTCCAATCCAGATGTCGGACCACTGTTCCTTACCAGGTGATAATGGCCCCAGTAGCCACTATCAAATTAAGTTCTAGCACAGCTACTGTATTTTTAGCAATAACGGGCTTGTCGAGTCTTTTAAATCTAAACAATACGTTCGTTTCTTTTTATGCTTACACTACAGGTCTAACTATAATAGTTAAAAACTAGATAATGTAATGGGAATTTGCTGAAAATGTCAGTCAAATTGATCCAGCCTGAACCGAGTGTTTAGCGATTGAATTTTGGGCCTAGCCTCGATCATTATTACTAAAGTAGGTACGATAAAAAAAAACATTGTCTCTATTATCCATTTTTTGATTTAATCAGAAGCAGCAGACCGGGTTCTAATCCAGTAAATATCGCAGATTATGGTCTGGATAAGTTAATTCATGTCTAATTAATTAAATAATTTAGATAACATTTCAGGCCTAAAGAAACGCCTGCATTGGGCAGATTTAGCTCTTAGCATAATGTATGTTTAATTAGATAGGAACCTACCCATTGAATCGTATACATTGTTGCCGTGTGGTCCTAATTCAATATTACAACCAGCATTGATACAGGCAGCTACTGTGTCGACACTATTATTCAGATAGTGGTGATGGGTTATGATGTTTTCAATGGCTCCGTCGTCACTTATAACGTAACCCTTGAATCCCCATTCTTCTCTTAATATATCAATCAACAATTCCTTGTTAGCACAGGCTGGTATACCATTAATTCTGTCAACATGAAAACATATAGTAATAACGGTTATTCAAAATCAAGTTCCATATATACAACGCGACATAGTAGTCTAATAGCAATTCTAGTAATGGAAGAAATCCCATTTGGATATGTATTGGCTAAAATTTGAAGAATTTGAAACATCAAGAAGAAAATTGCACCAGCAACAACAAAGATAGCTTCACTACCAACCTTATATTTTTAAGCCAAAGACTTTTTTTTCTCAATGACCATATTTTGGGGGCCAAGTAAACATAACCACGGGTATTATTTTGGGGTCTGATATTATAAAATATGATGAATGTTAATAAATGCAGTATTACCTGTTGTAACTACACATAATATTATAAGTTCCTGCTTTAACACAGGATCTAAAAGCTGGTAAAAACGTTGTTCTCCAATCTCTTATTGAAACCTATAGGTAGAGAAAAAGACCTTAACGATGGGATAGATATAGCTTTGAGTGGAATCTCGGTGTGTATTCTTTTATATGGAAGCAGCAGAACTTTTGTATTTACGTGTGTAAGGTTTTACCCGTTTTACGAATAGAAAGCAACTGAATTTGAGATTAACATCATTCCACGCCGAGCTAATTATCCCCTCGATTTTTTTTTAATGTAAAGATGATCCGAGGGAAATCCTGTTCTCCAAGAGAATATATCGTATATACTAAAACCAATGTTTGACGAATCAGAACGTTTGTACACGAATTCTAACAATTCTACGACTTTGATCCTTGGTGCGTCATATGTGCATCTGTTGATTGATTCTTGTGAAAAGTCGTTATCAATCGTATACGTCTACTGACTTAAAATAGCTTGCTGTGATGGAACGGGGTTTGTTAATCGGTGTAGATCCTCTTTAATTATTAAGAAACACTACAATGTACCAATATGTCATAGTGGTACGTGTGCACGTATACCCTGGTAGACATCAGCTGCTAATTACATGGTCCATATAAAACACAGCTGCTAACATGTCACAGCCAATACATATATCATTCAAGGGTGCCAATTCTTGCACAGGATCCATAATCTAATAACAACGTGATGTAAGGTCGACTATCACATACGCATACGACAGAATTTAAATGCCCGAAAAAATTCCCGTTTACAGACGGCATAGTTTACCGTGTTAGGAGCTTCCTTCCCCTGCCCCCTTGGCTCGTACGCCTACTCTCAATCTACCTGCAATCGAAACTTTTAATTCAAAATACTCAACAAACACATCAGCTTCTGATAATCATCCATCTTGCTACAGATCATATTTTTATCATCAAAACTATTCAAAAGATAAAGCATGATTAAAGAACATGTCTTCGACAAAGACAGTGACGCAAACCACGGTGTTTTATTCCGTAGGTGCAAATTTAAACTATATTCAGGGTGTAACCTTTTCCAGTCTATTTACACATTAGGGCTAATGCGGGTGTTCTAATTTAATTTGCTTAAAATTTCCTGAGCGACATTGTTTGAATCAATTACCTCGGCATCAAATCCGAATCTAGATACAGGAATGGACTCTGGACCAGCATACGCATCAAAATGTTTACATCCAGCACTGGTTAAAAGATATCGTGGGTGGTCACCTTGTAGACCTTGTACAAAAGCTGCAGCATATTCACCACTAAAATAAGGATCTTCTCCATAGGTTTCCTGTACATTAAAAATGTTTATTTGAAAAAAACAACAACGACATTGATATCTTTAAAGCAGCCGGCGCAACTATTTTTGGTGCTTAACTTTGTTGTTCGGGTAAAATATTAAATCAAATCAATGAATCTTTTCTGCCGGAGACAAAATAATTACTTACTTCGTTTCGACCCCATCGCGAATCTCTCATTATGTTGATCACAGGAGAGAAACAGCTAAGTCCGGTACCGAGACCATATTTTCCTTCCTGACTGAAGATAGTATTCTGAGCTCTAACCTCTATAGCTGTTGCTCTAGCTACATCATATATTAACTGGGTACTGAGGTAATAGATGAAACATAAAAAAATGTATTGGAAATGATTTTGATAGATGTTTAACACTGATAAGTGTATTAAGGAAACGTTTTCAACGTCATTTTCCTAATGGCGTATCTGTGTTTGAAAATCCTAAGGTTCTTTTGGATCTTTGCAAAGATGAAGTGGTGTGTGGGCACAGTGAATAAAGATTTTTATCCCAACCACGCGACATTGATGACATCCAGAGCAGCCATTAGGTTTGGAATCTATCCTACTTTTTATTCGCTGTTCAAAAGCGGCAAGGAAAAAAATCAAACTTCATAAGGAGGAAGCATGACAGTTTTTCTTACCTGAAGGCTGCAGCCAGACCAAGCGCTTCAGCATAACCAGTTCCGCCACCTTGTACATCTCCTCTCAGGCATTCCGTCCACCATTCATAGGGTTGAATACCAAGTCTAGGGATCGCATCAGTCCCGCCTGTTCCCTTTGACATTTGGCCCATCATTTCAGGTATCGTCAATCTACTAACTAAATCATCAACCCTTTCTTCCCACGTTAAAGATACGTTATAGAAGGGGAAGTCCGGAAACCCATAGCCTAAAGCTAGGGACACCACAAACACAACCAAACAGACCTTCATCCTAGCACAAACACCGGCTACAGAATGCAGACATAAGATAACAGATAAAGTTATATTCATATAATTTGGAAGAGATAATAACCTTCACAATCTTATCAGATTTCTTCATGTTTTGTGGTTGGTAAATGATTTTATCTTATTAATAAAATCGACCCAATTTTTATCGATATAGTGTAATCTCTGAAGGTTACAAATCTCATTCGTTAACGATATGTTAAATGGCTTTCAAATGCTAATTTTGTAAATGTAGGAGACACGTAAACCAAGACACGGGCCAAAGTAATGATGGAAAATCATGGAACAATTGAAAAAATATTTATAGAGAAGATATGCAACCTGAACAGAAATCCAAAATAGTCCTACTAATTTAAATGTGTGGCCCGGAAAGAGGATGGAGGGGGAAGCTGGGTCATGTGAGTGCCACCTGTGCAAAGGTGTTCCAAGAATAGAAAGTTCATAAATTAGATGCAGTTGCTAAAACAATTCTTTACTACGTGTGCTACACTGGCAATTTGTTGACCTTTGTAATTAGGTCGATATGGCTGTTTTGTAGGCTTTTATAAATATGTGGTTCTAGGTTAAACAGAATGTTGCTCCAAATAAAATATTCACCAAAGCCTACAGGATATCAATTCATAATTCTTACTATGTGATGTACGGTATATCCTTATGAATGGTTAATTAAGTTATGGCGAGTTAAATAAAATTAAAGATTATTGTGAGATTTAGAAAAACAAAAACCTCCAAGCTAAGCCAGATCGAACCAATGCCTCGGTGTCGAAATGTTCACATGGGCTCCTTGTTTGATTACGGGGGCATATACTTTAATTTCACCTGAAATTTTTACTTAGTTTTGTATGTTGTAAGAAGATTATACATGGATACAATGGGGCCGCAATCATATAAAGGCTACTCAATCTTAATTCAACAATCAACATGTCATCGGATAGGCTATACGCCCCTAACAATAAATATAGTTTCCTATTATTTGTCAAGACATAGATGAAATAAACATGTGTATTAAGCAACATTTAACCTCAAGTCTCTTTGGAATGGAATATGTGTAAGTAGTAGGCTACTGTGCCTACAGCAAAACCATATTTATACCAATGGCCTATAGGCTATATTCAATAATATCAAACGTTGTCCTCCGTCGAGTTCACTAAAAACATAGGGGTCTGATGCCTCCGTATTAATAGGCCATGTCATTGCATGTGTCTCTGTCTACCTGGTACGTAAGCGGGTTTGTTTGTCGTGCCAATTTAGACCTATAAAAGATTTGTTCGAGTGTGCCCGATAAAAAGTACATTTAGCTCTGAGCTGTATCAAGCCCCTGTGAACATGCAGAGGCATGTTGAACGAAGCTACAAGGGGGCATAATTCAAATGGATTTTTTTAAATATCGGAAGTAATACTTTTAATTTATTGACTTTCAACATGCAGCTTGGCGTAAACAAAAATTTCTGAATGTTTTTACTCAACATTATCATGTGATAATTAAAGTCTTAAACATGTCTTCGGATAACAGTGGTGAGAAGTAGTAAATTATATTGATATATGACGCAAACCAGTAAATGGGTTGATTATAGTTAGTTTAGTAACGGATTTAGATTCTTATCGGACTCTGTCTGTTATCCTGGAACCTTGTGGGTCACCTCCGGGTCCTCCCACTGCTAAAGACCCCTACGCGCAAGCGAATTATTGAGGAATGAAAAAAGTTTCTGTAAGATGGGGGCCAAAGCTCTTGCCATGATTCCAGATTAAAAACGTGTCAGATTTGTAACCATTGATGAGATCTGTTTCCAAAAATAAAATAAGAACCAGCTCTCGGCAGCTGGTCGTCATTTGCCTGAATAATACTAGATCATTGTACGATCTGGAAAATAATTTTCTCTAGGGTTAGGGTTAGGGTTCATGTTAGCTTTATAAATTACATGTCAAACGTACAAATTGAAGCTGTAACAACGGTGGATTGTGGCTATATATATAAAACTATTCTGAAGGGTTAGGGTTAGAATCGTGGGTATAAACATGGACAGATATTTTCCAGATTGGTCAACATCTAGTAGCGTGCCATTTGCCTGGTAATGATGACATCATGTCGGCTGTGAATGACTTTTTTAAGGTGGCTGAAAAAAATTTCATTACTGACTGGCATCCAGATCTTTGAACATAGTTGGCAAAAATAAATGGAAAACATCGACTTTGTACAGGTCTTTCAAACTTTTCAGCCGGCCCTCGTATTTTATCTTAATTTCAAATAGCTTGGGTGGAAGTCTATCGAAAGTCAATAATCTTAAACAGTTATCATTTTCTGTTGCAGATTTTAAAAGACAACAAAAAAGTATTAAAAATAAGAATCGTAAAAGAAGAAATAAGGAAAAAAGACAAGGATTAATGGGTAAGCATGACCACACATATAGCTCTTCTGCAAATGATGTACCCATGCCCACTGCTCAAGTACATAAGAAATATGGTATGGTAATTATCAATGATTTTTGTCACAGTTTTTTTTTCTCAATATTCTGAAGATTACTTACCTCTTTTCTAATTAGGTTATTATATTTAGTAAAAGAGCTTTTTGGATATGTTTAGTTGTAGTCATGTATGTCTTTCATGATTTATGTAAATAGTGTTGTCCTATATTTTTAGAGATGGAAGCTAAACAACCAAAACTTGTATCAATGGATGATGATTCTGATAGTGATGAATTTAAAAGTAAAAATGTACAAGGTATTAGTATAGTTGATCATACCACATCTATACACCTACACTCAGTTGTTTGTCCATCCACTTTAGGCTAGGGAGTAGGTCCTGAGTTGATTTTCTTTTTCTTTGTCAGTGGTGCAGTACAGAGAGCCTGACAAGGGAGAGCATCTATTATTGTCAGATTGTATAAAAAAAACCAGTGGTGTCATGAACAGTTTAAGATATCCTTTTAGTTGCAAATCAAATAAGAGTAGGCTGTAGCATCGCTGTCAAAGACAAATTTCCCTCAAATCAAAATACACCACACTTTTCCGTCATTGTTAGCCTTGTTGGTGCAGACAAGATGGATGTTGAACCACATTTTATTCAATCATTCCAATGCCGATAACTCTAGACCTTTCTCCACCTTTCTAATCACGTTATAGCTTTAATTGTAATGATTCTGTACTGTTTTCAGAAACTGGTGAATGCAGTGGTGAAGCGAGTAGTATATTAGCAGATATAACATTTAATATGTTATCAGATAAAATAGCACCAGAAACATTAATGGCAATTAAAGACTTGGGTTTTATACATTTAACAGATATACAAGCTAAATCTATACCCCATCTCTTATTAGGAAGGTAAAACTATTACTTTCTAGATCATACAGACAAATTTTATATGTTGATATCAAATATTATAAATCAGTCCTTTCTGAGATTGTGTCTATTGTTCTAATGACTCTTATTTTTCTCACGTTATAGTGGATTTGACTTAGGGAAACAAATGTAATTTCTGTTACACTTTTAGTTCAAACTGAATGTGAAATTCATTTGTACATACAGCCATACCATCAAGTGATTATTTACTATACTGACGAATCTGCTGGTTTTATTTCTGGCGTGGTTTCCCCTTGTCAAGTGGTGCAAGACGGAGGGCCTGACAAGGACAGCTGTCTTGTTGTTCGGATAGTATGAAAAACTGAGGTCCCGTGTATACATTGGCATGCACGTAAAAGATCCCTTGGCAGGTGGAATTCGATATAAGAGTAGGCCGTAGTGCCGCTGCCGAGACAAAATTTTCCTCATAACACACTCTATGGCATATGCCCGCCTTCTTTAGCCCAGTCGGAGCAGAACAGTAGGACGTTAAACTTCATTTCATTTCCGCTGGTTTTACTGTATAATGACAATACATTACTGTAATTATTTGTTGGCCATTTTGTTTTCTTGGCCAAGGATACACCTTTCTACAATTTTTTTACAGTGGAACGGAAATTTCTTATGTCAATTTGGTTCTCCAACAAAGAAAGAAATGCATACGAACATAGATGATTGGTCTTTGGAGGAATCTCTAAACTCCACCCCTCATACACTTCAGATTCGCCAGAGCCTCTGTGTTTTTAAAGCTCACACAAAATATCTAATTTTTAAAATTCATTAATATTTTTTTTAGTGATGTGAATGGAGCAGCTAAAACTGGAAGTGGGAAAACATTAGCGTTTTTAATACCGGCTATAGAACTGTTATGTCACCATAAATTTAAACCAGAACATGGTACAGGGTGTATAGTATTATCACCTACTAGAGAATTAGCTATACAAAGTGGTGAAGTTTTATCAAAATTACTTAAATATCACAGTTTAACACATGGACTTGTTATAGGGGGGACAAAAAAAGATGCAGATGCTAAAAGTGTTCGGTCAGGATTAAATATCATCGTAGCAACACCAGGCAGATTGTTAGATCATTTAAGGGTAAGCAGTCTCCTCATCTCCTCATACACATAGTTCTCCTCATACACATAACCACTGAAAAGGACAAATTAGGTTATGTTCATCTTAAATTACTGTTATATTGGGATGTAATTTGCCATGGACTATTTACCTGTTGGTTAGACTGGAATGTAAGAAAAGGGATCGGAATTAAAGACATGATGAGCTGACATTCAGCCTTCAGCTCAAACGTGCAGTCAGTAATTGTTAGGCTTTTTAAAGGGGACATATGGTGAAGGCTGGACATCTTTGATCCTCAGGATGATGAGGGAAGGGAAAATTAAATGCCTACACATGACCAACAAGGTATATGGTAGTCAAATCCTGTTTATATATTTATTTTATTTATAAATTTCAGAATACAGAAGGCTTTGTGTTTACTAATCTAAAGATGTTAGTAATAGATGAAGCTGATAGATTATTAGATATGGGTTTCGAAGTTCAATTAAAACAAATTGTTGCTATATTACCTAGTAAGTTGAATATTTTCACCATTAACTGAGTTCTATCAAATATAAGATCAATATATTTTGAACAGTATTTTGTAAATTAATTTCATTACTGTATAAATATTTGGATTAAAAAAAGAAATTTTGGAGAATAAGGATCTTTGATGACTATTGTAGAGGGGGGTTGGATGGCCGAATGGTTAGCACATACATGTTGTATTATGAGGTCTGTCATTGAGTCAACTGGCATGGTTTCAATTCCCCGGTTGTACATGACGAGGAGTAGGGTCGTCTGTCCAACCTCGAAGGTTTTCTCTGGGGCGTCCAGTTTCCTCCCACTGCCAAAAACCCCTACACGCAAGCGAATTATTGAAATAAAATTGAACCATGCGTTAGTCCCAAAATGACCTACACGCAAGCGAATTATTGAAATAAAATTGAACCATGCGTTAGTCCCAAAATGACCTAGTTTGTGTCAAGTGGACGTTAAACCCCATATCTCTCACTATTGTAGAATTATAATAATAACAATAAGTGTTGTATGTATATAGTGCATCATTTCAAAGTAAAATCTGCTTTATGCACATATCAAACAGTGCCCATAGAATTAATTTTCTATCAACAGAGAAAAGACAGACAGCATTATTTTCTGCTACACCAACAACTAAAACTGAAGATTTAGCACGGATATCATTGAAAGAGAAACCGGTATATGTTGGTGTTGATGATGAGAAGAAATCAGCTACAGTAGCTGGATTACAACAGGTAAATAATAACACATATATATTGACTTATAATGATATATATGGACAGCAATATACACCAAAAGTTTAAATATTTTTAGTAAAATAAAGCACAATTGTATTGATAATAATTTGCAAACTGGTCGACAGTGGATGTTACTCTCTAGCTCAGATCACTGGAAAGCATGACAATAACTTCATTAATTAGTATTCGGTATTCGTATGAATATTCATTAATGAACAAGCTTTGATGATAGGTTGTGTCTATGACAATCTGATTTAAATACAGATCTATATTTCACTTCGTTTTTTATACTTTCAATGGCCTACACTACATGAAGATCTGACAAGTTATAGCGATAGGTCACGTCAGGGGTCAAAAGACCGACTTATGACCCTATGACGTCAGACATTTGATTAACCAATCAGCATTGATGTTACTAGTGGATTACCCACAGTTCCGTGAAAAACACGCCTGAAGCTCGCCGTAACAGACCGTTTCATTGGCTTATCCCTGACACCATTCAGAACACGAGTTAAATAACAACTCTTCCAGATCCAAGTGTAGTAAAGACAAGTAAAACAACATGTTGAACTATAAAAACGAAACGAAATAGGATCTGTGTTTTAACCAGATTGTGTCTATGACTACACTCATAACAATTTCAACTTATCTACATGTAGCTACTTAAACGTTGTAACTGAATGCATATTTCATAAGACCATGGTGTGCGAAACCTCCGAAAGCTTATGTGTTGGCTATCAAAATTTTGCATAATTTTAAGGAATTTTAATTAGGTGAATAAAAAAAGAAAAGAATGTGCTAGTGATATTAATAACAGAAAATTTAATAAACTTATCTTAAGGTTATTAATTAATATTGCTGTTATTTTGAAGATGCCACATCAGTTCAGATAACAACAGTTGTGACTATTGTCAGATTCCATCTTTGAATTTTTTTCCAGGGTTATGTTTTTTATCCACCTGAGAAAAAGTTTTTACTTTTATTCACATTTTTAAAGAAAAACAAAGACAAGAAGATAATGGTGTTTTTTAAAACGTTTAAATCTGTAAAGTATTATGAAGTAATCTTCAATAAAATTGGATTACCTGTGTCAGGAATATTTGTAAGTATGATAATGACACGCAATTGATATTCATATGCTTTGTTCAGATTAGTAAGACGTATATGCAATTTCCGGTATCTTGGAGAGTTATTGCCCTTGATTAAAATAATTTATCATTTGATCTGTCTGAAATTTATCTGTATCAGTTCATTATTAAAGAGTTATTGCCCTTGATGACTGTGAAATATAATATACCCTCTAGGAACAAAAGTCATCATTCCGTATAGACAGCCTATATGATTCTACTGCTCCAACAACTTGTTGTTGTGTATGTTTCTTTGCCTAAAAGCTTATCATTTTTATTAGTTCTTTGAACAATTATTAGTTATTTATTTATTGTTACAGGGTAAAATGAAACAGAATAAACGTACAACTGTATTTAATACTTTTATACAAGCTAAACAACATATTTTACTGTGTACTGATGTAGCTGCTAGAGGTCTGGATATACCTCATGTAGACTGGATTATCCAATATGACCCACCAGATGATCACAAGGTAAGTAGATTGTCTTCACAATGTTAAGATATTTTAATATTCATCTGATATTTTGACTCCATTAGCCAACTTTATTCAATCATAGAAGTTATTAGAATGCAACTTTTTAATGCTTCTCAAATCTCACTAAACATACCTGTCACAGATATCACTCCTTACAAACCAAAGGTTTTGGACAATAAAGGCGACTGTCACAAACATTTTTTTCATTCTTAAAATTCAGATATATCTTTAACCTTTCATAAACATTTTTCAACACAATGTACGAATGTATAGTATAGTAGGCTAATGCAGTCATGGTATCAAATACTTGTTGTAAACCTTGACATCATGATGACAGAATACATGAAATAGATGTCAATTATTATCTCACATTGTTATTATCAAAGTTAATATTATTGATTGTGTGTGAGAGAGAGATGCGGTAAGTAAGTGAGGGGAGGTCTTGAGGTCAATTCCGGTATTGGCCAAGAAAGTTAATCTGGATTTTACACCGTGCTTCCCCTTGTCAGTGGTGTAGGACAACATATAGTCATTTGGATAGTCATATGTCCAGACATAATTTCCCTCATAGCACACTGCATGGCATATGTCCATCTTCATTAGCCCAATCGGAGAAGACGTTTAACCACTTTTCATTTCACATTATCAAGTGTGAAGCTACGTGAATGAGATTAAAAATACTAATATATTTTTTCTATCTCAGAGTGTTCATATGCTAATTTGGATGTAATCTTTATATTTTAATAAATAACTTCAGGAATATATACATCGTGTTGGAAGAACAGCTAGAGGAGAAGGTACAACAGGTCAAGCTCTTATATTTCTATTACCCTGTGAAAAAGAATTCCTCTTTCTTCTAAAACAAGCTAAAATTATAGTCACAGAGTTTGAGTTTTCCTGGGATAAAGTTGTTGATATAACACCGCAGGTATATATAATATATTGACATCATTCTAAAACCCCTTTTTGTAATACCAAAATATTTGAATCTCACAGCATCAAATTATTTACTGACACCTTGATAACATGACTAACTCACATTTACACAAAATAGGGTTTAGATAATACAGATTACAGTAGAATCAGCTTTTATGATCTGCACTCCCAGCTATCTACTTGTTCACTTTAAATATCATGGTATCTTGTTAACATGAATAAATTTGCATAAATAAATTAACATAGTTTGTTGAGGGGCAAGAATAGACACATCAGATTGCAGTTCTCTACTTGCCACTTTAAGTACCATGGTAGGCAGTGGTTCTGTTGGTAATGCAAATAATTATATCTATAGTGCCTTCCTTTGCTAAATTGTTTCAATGGCATTAATTGAACATGAAATGCACAGGTCACAATTCTATTGCAATATAATTACTGCTTTTTACTGAGCGAGGTTTCGACTAGTTGGAGTTCTTGATTTAGCTGAGCTGGCACTAATTAACAGTATCTTGTTGAGGTGTTTTTGACAAATTTCACTAGATAACCGTTGAAGTTTGTGAAGACATGTTTGAGATGATCAATTTGCTTAGAAAGAATCTTGGGGTCCCACATCTTTGTGGCTTGGCTCTTTAGGGATATTTTTAAAGCTTATGTTAACAATACATTACAGAGTTCTCCTTGTACAGAATTTTTAAAAAACATAGTCAGATTTTTTAAAACATACTTAACAAGAATAGTTAACATTGAGTGTATAAGGCCTGATAAGCCCTGTCTATTATTTCTTGTTTTTTAAAGTATATGAATAAAGATTGATATTAGAAATATATTTTTTCAGATTGTGGAAATGGTATCATCAAGTCATGAATTAATGAAGTTGGCTAAATCAGCATATAAATGTTATTTCCGTGGTTACAGGGCTACCAGCTTAAAGAAAATATTTGACATTAAAAACCTAGATCAATTAAAAACAGGTCTTGCATTTGGTCTCACAAATCCACCAGTCAAAGCAGATATCCTTTTTAAAAAATCAGTGTCCACAATACTGCGATGATAATAACGACTTCATGGATTTTGGAAACATTTCCAATAAGTATTATGATCAAACAGATAACATCACAGAATAGCCGACCATGACATAAACAGAACCATATTTTTTTGGGTTCAAGATAGATTCAACCATCTATCTATTTTGATAACTCAACCATCTATCTATTAATGCTCACAAAGAGAGAATTGATTCTCTCCACAAAATTGAAAAATAAAATCATCTAGTCATAGGAAAAAAACCAAAGTTCCATACTTGTACCCATTAGCATTTATGTAAAAGAATCCTTGAGAATTGGAATTTGAAGAAGGATAGGGGAAAATGTTGCTGTCTAGATAAAATTAACAACATAGGGCACATTTTGTCATTTATAGCATTGTTCTGATTTTTGACACTACGAATCCTATCGGATATTAACAATTTCTGTTGTTGCATATGGTGCATTTCTTTTCAATACACCAGTGATTCAGTATAAAGATTTTGCTTTTTATTTACCTAAATGTTCACAATGCAATAACTTTAGTGGACAGCTCAGATGAGCATACCACTATGTTTGTTGGCTTAGCAACCTAACTTTTAATATTGCTGTATTTTTTCATTGTAAGAAGATAAGGTTGATAGCACAAGAAATGAAACTTGAGTGAGTATATTTTTCACTTTTTTTTTACTTTACTTTCTTTAACTAGTTTACTTGTGAGATAAACGTTGTGGTATCAAGTTTGAGGGTGTGTACAGAGGATCATGGATCTATTTTCCAAATAGATGTTCACTACTAACATGGATATTAATTGAATCAAAGAAATGACAACAGCTGAAACTAAGCCACCTATATATCCAGTATCAGTAATAAATCAGTTATCTTTTCAAAGTAAAAGGCTGGTTTAAATGACTTTAGTTTCTTCTCACAACTTTATCGTCAGAAACCACTCTCATTATTGAAGTTTTCATTAGTTAATGTATCATTGCAGTGTCCATTAGTTGAGTTAATAATGTATCATTACAGGGTCCATTATGTTGAGTTAATAATGTATCATTGCAATGTCCATTATGTTAATAATGTATCATTACAGTGTCCATTATGTTAATAATGTATTATTACAGTGTCCATTATGTTGAGTTAATAATGTATCATTACAGTGTCCATTATGTTGAGTTAATAATGTATCATTACAGTGTCCATTATGTTGAGTTAATAATGTATCATTACAGTTTCCATTATGTTAATAATGTATCATTACAGTGTCCATTATGTTGAGTTAATAATGTAACATTACAGCGTCTATTATGTTAACATGTTTTATTGCAATTTGAGATGTCTATTAAATATACAAGGATCTGTATCTTTTGTGTTGTTGACTCGTATTTATTTATTGACTGTTTCCAATACAAAAAAGGTAATATGTGGATAGGGGAATAATTTGGTCTACTAAGTACGAATGTAGTGATACGTGTTTTTTGATAAACTCTTTACCTTTTCTCTCCCCCATTTTCCCCAAGTCTATATTTGGTGTAATTTTTGGTCTAGAACTGATTAAAAGGTTTATAATCGACATTTTCTGCCAGGATTTGGTGAATATTAACTATTTTTAGGCAGAAGGATCAGGGGGTAATCCATTTGGTGAAATTACTGTGAAAATAACATTTCCACCATAGATTTAGTTACTGTATCCAAAACAGGTAACGATATGGCATGAAATTACCGGTAACATTGAAGTTGGTGTTTAAAATATTAACAGTCCATCTGTATAAATATTCTGGATTAAGACTAGTGCGAGTTATAAATAGACAATTTTTCCCTTAATTTTTTTCTACCCTCTTCCTGCATTTTTTGGTTGACTTTTTGGTCTAAAAATGGAGAAAAAGGATCAAATTTCATAGCAGTTTTGGGAAATACTATTGATATTACAGCGGAGGGATAGGGGGTGGACGGTGTCTTTCTGCAGAGCAATCATTGTGTCGGAAGTGAGATTTCCACCCCAGTCAACATCAAATCCCTGTAGCAAAAAATCTAAACGGTCAACCCCCTACAAAATTATGATGAGGAGATTGCCAAATGTGGTCCCCATTGTGCCTTTAAAGATTGGAACCAACAGAATTGAGCTAAAAGCTACAGCCTGTGATGTTACAGCTATTTAAGGGCAAAAAATTGCTAGTCTGAGCCCTTCTGTGGAAGGTTATAAATTAGATTTACCTCCCCTTGTTGGAAACGGCGACATTGGCTGCGCCTTGCGCAGCGAAGATTAAAGAAATGTGACATGTCTCAGAATTTTATTACCCAGGGAATAAACGAGGCTTGTTTGCCCAGAATACCCACACCATTCCATCGTAAGTTATAAATGAAGGTTTAATAGATAAACTGTATGTAATAAAGTGGTATTTAATAGAAAAAAGATTAAAGATTTGTCTATAATCGCATGAATGCACGATAAGATTGGACATTCTGTCAAAAATCAGTATATTGAATAAACACTAACTAGAAATGTTATCAGACATTTACAGGAGTCTGGAGCGGTGTGAAAAAACAGAGATTATGCAGAGCCGATTTAGAAAACTAATTGCTAAGAAAATAAATGATACGACACTGACATCAAGGGTTATTGGAACTAAAAGTGCATGACGGGCTTAAGTACTGGGAACTAGTCCCGTTGTGCCTAACATGCTCAATGTAAGGTATCCAAGTTTTAAACAGATGAATGCAGTTATGATATATAGTTGAGATGGCGATAGCATTATAAAATAAGGGGATGTTCCGTTCAATCACTAACCGTGGTTCCTATATCATGTGTTAAAACATTTACGATGTCATTGAGTTCATTGAGTCCACATGAGGTATTCACCATATTGATTATGAACACCATCAAGCATGCACTTTATTTAAAGTGTTGTTCACTTTATAGGATCCTTCCGTATATCGCATTAATATTTTGCTTGGCTAATGGTTTATGTTGTCGTTACGGTCACCTGCATCTGTCCGCAATTTATTGATTTGACCAAGTAGACCAGTGTTCTTTTGGCTGAACCTTATTTTCAGACTTACAGGAATTTGTTATTGGATTATAAAGAACATTTTGAAAGATTAGAAACATTTGATAGATTAAAAAAAAAGTTGGGGTCCCTATCCTTATCATTAGTAAAAAAATTAGAAGTGTCACACGTGCGAATTTTAAAGGTGGCATAAGTAAGGATTTCCAATTAAATGAATTTTGGGATTCGCAATTAGAATGTTAACGCTTTGGAACGAAATGAAATAATAAAATGAAATGGTTTTAATGGCTTACTGTTCTCACCGACCAAGCTAATGAAGACGGCCACATGTCATGCAGTGTGCTTCAACCAAGAGGGACATTTTGCCCGGGCAGCAACGCATTGGTCTACTTTCATTTTGCATTCCAACTGTCAATGGTTCTTTTACGGATATGCCAATGTTTACACGTGATCTCGATTAACTGTCCCATACGAACGACTAGATGCTGCACCACTTACCAACAAACCATGCCGAACAATGCAGAGGAACTTTTTCGGCAAACATAGCGCTCGAACATTGGATCGCCCTGTTAGCGAGCTAGCGCCACACCCACCAAGCCAGTGACCGATCATTTCACGGTTCTTACAGAGGCACTTCACGGAGTTTCTGTTCAAAAGATCTTAAGATCCTTGCAGGAGTGTATATTTTTGGGCAGTACCGTTTAAACATCGAAATGTATAACACAAATTTTGAATTTGATTTTCTAACTAAATGAGTGTATATAGAACAGAGCATGTGTAAATCTCTTCGATTATCAAAGTTTCATTGTACTTGTGGAATATTCCGACATCAATAGAACATCGAATTATGTTTTATTACACCCCTTGGATTGGGTCCATGCGGTGCTTACTACTTATATAAGATATCAATATTTAATTTGGTTGGCTTTTCATACAAATCCATTTATTCAGAATGAGTTTTCTATCGTGATGTTAATTTCAATATAGCATCGAATCAATCATTCATTGTTTAATACAATTTACAAAGTCATAGTAAATAGTGTCTCGACTATAGAAAATAATATAAGTGGCCTAATTTGATATACTGATATGGTCCAGACTCTCCTAGGGGTTGCTATTTATGATTACGTTTACCGCTTAATTGCGCTTAATTGACGCTAATAGATTGCCTGATGTACAACAAATATATAACCGAAGGAATTTTATGTGTCTCGGTTTTTACATATTGCGATATAAAAATGGATTTAAATTCTATTGAGAATTAAGATGAAATTTATAAATATATATATGTATATATATTATATACATATATCGTGGAGGTAAATATACGTCCACTCGACACAAACTAGGTCATTGCAGAACTAACATATGGTTCAATTTTATTTCAATAATTCGCTTGCGCGTAGGGGTCTTTAGCAGTTGGAGGAAACCGGAGGACCCGGAGAAAACGCACGAGGTTGCACAGGCGACCTTACAACCCAGTTGACTCAATACCAAACATTATGATACAGCGCGCCTGTGCTAACCATTCGGTCATCCAACCCCCAGGGAGGGAGAGAGAGAGAGAGAGAGAGAGAGATGGGGTTTAACGTCCACTCGACACAAACTAGATCATTTCGGGAAATTAATGTATAAGTGTATAATTGGGTTGTATAAAAACTATCAATCCTGTTTCGAGGACAGGTCGTTTTTATACTAGTACGTAGTATAAAAACTATAGTTTTTGTTCGGATTATAATTTTTGTTTCTTCCATTGGAAAAAGTACAGACCTTATGATACAACGCGCACGCGCTAACCATTTGGCCATCCAACCTCCAACCCACCCCCACTACAGTATAGTAGGCTTTAATGTGACGGGAGTTTTGAAGGTGTTGGTGGTTGTGGTGAAGGTACTGGTGCCGGTTATGGCAGAAGAGGGGCGGGGGCATTGAGCCACGCCCTCTTATTTCCACCACTACAGAACCGCCCTTATTACGCGAGTTAAAAGAAGATAAACATCTTTGATGTAAGTTAAATAAAGTATTGGATTGCGTTGATCTGCTGCATTATTTAGATTAGTGATGAGACAAAAGCCCATGATTACATTTTTGTTTGGACAGATTAGGCGGACATCAGCTTCTGAGACATTTTCTAAGTTTAAATTTTGTCTTGAACGTGGAACACAGAATCCGTTATATCTCAACACTGGCCTTATCTCTAGGAGTAAATTGTTCAAGGAAGACTGCAGATTGACTTCCCATAATACAGATCGATTAAAAATCGAAATCGACTTTTTTACTTTTGACAAAATCAAAGAGATCTTACCCGATTGAACAATACCTATTTAGAGATATCTGTTTGCGGGATATTTAGCGTGTCCATTATCAGCCTACAACACACCTTTAACCATTTAAATTTTAAAACAAATGGAATTGATAGTTGAATGAAATCAGTTGATAATTCCTTTATTAAAATGAATGAAATTAGTTTAAGGTTTGTGAAATTGGATGTAACTATTAAAGATTTAAATTAATTCATTGGTTGTTTAGATACTAAAGTGAATAACGTTAGTTTAACGTTGACTTAATGATGTATAGGTTAATAAAATCAATTTTGCTATGAATCAATACAACTCATGTTTACAGGTTGTATCTATGTAGTTATTTTATTGCAATGACAGATCACATATCAAGATATTGTATTAACGTCGACACAGTTCACCCATTCCCTTATTCTTATTAACCTCATCAATAATCTGTTATCTTACTATATCAATTTTCCAATATGATATTGGCTATAGGTTGTATTGTACAGTATATAGCTATTAACGATGCCATTGATTACGTGTTTTACTTAACCATCTTATAAATCGTCTGTCTTAGTGCATATACAGACTTCAGATTGACCCCGCAGAAGTCTATTAGCATTGCTTGCTGCAGAGCATATTCCTGAAGCAATGGCCAGAGAAATAAGGTATTAAAACGGTGAAAGTATTGTTCGTCTCCAAACAGTATTGTTTACATTGTATGCGTGTTGATAGCTTCGTTTGTCACGCAATTAGCTTTTCTGCAATATTCTGCTATGCACATGGTTAATTGGGCATAATGGAATCGTGAATCATGACGTAACGTTATGTAAACAAATTTGGTCCAATTTAGAGCTCTGCTTAAAGCGTAATGATATTGTTACGCAGTTAGCTATTGGTTGTTAATCGGACTATTGACCAGTCATAATTTGGAACAGAAATTTGCTTCCATTACAGCAGTGTTTAGTGGGGTTAGCTCTAATCAAACGAAATACTGCGAGTAGTATGGTTGCGGAGTAGCTGCAGATGGGTTACGTGGGATCTTCCGGTTAGTGAGCCAGCAC